CCCGCTAATGAGAGACTGAGGTCTCGGATCACTTAAGCCCAGGAGTTCAACACATGCGTGAGCAACGTAGTGAAATTCCATTTCAAATAAAGAGAAAGGTTTGCCTAGAAGACTATGAACAATAAAAGGAACAAACTCTGCAAAATGTTGTTACATGGAAGAACCATTATGCAAAGTACAAGAAGTCAGACACAAAAAATGTATCATGTATGATTCTGTTCATATGAAAATTTCCAGAAAAGGAAAATCCATAGAGCTGGAAAACAGTTCAGGGGTTGCCTGAGGCTAGAGAAGAAAATAGAAATTGACTACAATGGCTAGAGCTTCTATTAGATATTAACTAGGGACAAATATTAAGTCTTCAAATAAATCACAAAACTATTACAAGGGCTAGGCAGGGCTCCTGGTCCAGTTTCACAGGACCATAAAAATGGGTAAAGGGTAAAGTGAGTTGCAACAATAAGAAAGATGAAGAGGGGGCTGGGGTTGTGGCTCAGTGGTAGAGCACTTGCCTAGCTTGTGCGAGGTTCTGGCTCGATCCTCAGCAACACATAAAAATACATAAAATAGAGGTATTAGACACAATTAGTGTATTGGACACAACTAAAATACAAAGAAAAAGATGAAGAAAGGAAGAAAATATTACTTTCTAGATGAGTACCCTGAGTCAGTGATTAAGAAAGCTATGAAGGTACACACCCCTGCATCCAGTCCCATCTACCCATGCTTAAGAATTAGTTAAAAGCCAGCCAGCAAGTCTCCCTCATCATCTGCATGGACTAACACAGCAGGTTCTCCCCCAACCCAACAACTGAAAATTAATCTTTGTCTTTACAATGAGCAGCAGACAGCTCAGCTTCAGCCTGCTTACCTGGAATAGTGTGCACTTCATCCAGGATCATGAGGCCCCATTCCTGTGTTTTAAGCCACTCCATGACTCGCTCAGCCTCCCAGGACCTCTTGGTAGTGTGGCCCAGCATGGAGTACGTGCTAATGGCAATGGAGCAGCCTATGGGCTTGTCCTTGGCATCAGAGGTGAAGCGGCAGATCTGGCTGTCATCAATGGTGGACCACATCTTGAACTGGGCTTTCCACTGCTCCACAGACACGGCAGAGTTGCCCAGCACCAGACAGCGCTTTCTGACAGTGCACGCAGCAGTCACACCAACCAGGGACTTTCCAGCACCTATAAGAAATCAAGGGATAATCCTACCAAAAGCCAGGTTGAAATGAAGGACAGGGATGAGCAGGGACTCTTTAGCACAGGAATCTAGGCAAAATTTTTATAGTGGACCTCATAGCAGACATTTGTGAGGCATGTACTACTCCAGCTTGCTTTCCTCTTTATAAAGAGGCATGCCCACTCTACACACATGAGTAAAATCAGTGGGTGCTGGGCCCTTCTCTAGAACCTTACACAGATCCCCTTTAAATGGTGAAACCTTAAAATCAAACATTGAGAAGAAATATTCCTGTTAGCACTATTTTAAAGAAAGGAAAACTAGATGGAGAAGTACCTTGCCAGTGGCCTTAAGACACTGGTGTTAGGAACAGTGCACCTAGCATACATCCTGCAAAGGAAGGACTTGGAAAATGACAGTTATTAATTATTATACAGAAAACAGGGCTTAAGAATGCATTTAAAGGGCTGGGGTTGTGACTCATGGGTAGAGTGCTTGCCTAGCACGCATGAGGCACTGGGTTCAATCCTCAGCACCACACATAAAAATAAAGGGAGGCTGGGGATGTGGCTCAGAGATAAGGCGCTCGCCTACCATGTGCAGGGTGCTGGGTTCTATCCTCAGCACCACGTTAAAAAAATAAAATAAAGGTATTGTGTCTAACTACAACTAAAAAATACTTATAAAAAGCATGTGTTTAAAGTGTACACAATACTAGAAAAGACAGAGAAGGTGAAATTCTAAAAGCTTATGAGTTTACTATCATCCACCACCCAAAGAACAAGATAAAAATCAATATTCCTTTCAACACAAATTCTTCCTTTACTATCAAAATAACCTATGAAGTTAAAAAAAAAAAGAGAGAGAGAAACTAAAGGCAGAGACCCATGTCTTAGGGACTTTGTGGGGTGGGGGCAGGGGGTAGTCTCCAGAGGAGTCTGTGTGGCCTCTGGTTAAGAACCTAGTAGTATAGGACTTTTTTTTTTTTTTTTTAATTTGTTCTAATTAGTTGTGCATGAGGACTTGACATTCTTAAGGATAAGTGAGGTTGGTCAGGTGCCAATGTTGCTGCTGCTGCTGACTTTTCTCAGCCTTGCACACCATCAAAAGCCCTTCAGGAACAAACAAATCCATGCATCATTAGCCCGATTTTGCAGAATAGAAAGCTAACTCTCTTGTACACAGAATGCCCACCAGCACTATCTCACCCCATACCTGCTCTGGTTTTCTTCATGTCCTCTATCATTGCCTGAGATTTAATACGTTCTTAATTGATCTGTTTATTATCAGTCTGTATCCCAGCTGAAGGAGCTCCATAGCCCTAGGGCTTAAGCAAGGAGCCACACACAGTAAGCACTCAATAAATATTTGCCAAGTCATGAATAGGGAAGTACCTAACCTCAGCTGTCCCTTGGAAAGGTATGACTTAGGGAAATCTGCTGAGGGAGAGTGGGAGGCAGCTGGCAGGTCCAGAGAGAAGCCTGGCCAACTTCCTCATTCAGGTTCCACTCACCGCAAGGAAGAACAATGACTCCCGATCGTGCGCGTCCATTCCCAAACATCTTCCGCAGGCTCTTCTCCTGATAGGGTCTGAGGACAGCTGTGGGTTTCAGGTCAATGTTTATATCAGGGTTGACAGAATCATTCCGGAAGTCATATTCTGCTAACAGAGGGTACTCCAGGTGTATACAACGTTTCTGGAGCTCCTCAATCATTTCCTGAGGAGTCAGTATGAAGGAGGTTTTATTATCTTGTTAACTCCAAAAGTATGTTAAAAAACAACACATATTCCATTGAATCCAATGATCAGAAAATGGCATTTTATCCAAGAGAATATATTTCACATCTTGCTTGCTAACAATTAGGTTAAAAAGCAATCCAAACTAGTAACACTGGCAAAACAAACTCTAATTAGAATCAAATGGATTCTCAGCAACTGTTTCTCATATCTCTTCAGATTTGCTTGTGAAAGTCTCTGTGAACTTGTGGGGACCAGCCTTCTAGCCTGAGGAAGAAGACATTCTAACTCCATCAGGAAGAATAACATAATGGCCCACAGACACAAAAATGGGGAATACAACTAAGGATCAGAAAGGAATCTCTTTCTCTCACACATATTACAGAGGAAGTTAGCGCAGGGCTGGACACATTTACTGGAGAAGCAAGGAGTGGGCATTCACCAACCTGTTTGACTTCAAAGGATACTGTCTGTGTCTCTTCTTCTTCTTCTTCATCCTTGTCCATTTGCTCATAAAAGTCAAACAAGTCCGTAGGGATGTCAGATTTACCCTGTGGATCTGTCACCCGGGAAGTAGAAGGCCCACTGCCACTATCTGCCATCTTAGAAATCTGCTAAGAGAAAGGCAGGTTTCTGGACTTGCACAAAACATTTGACCCTAATATAATCAAACAAGAAATAAAGTTGCAAAGGGGGAGTAAAAGGCTGGGCTGCTAGATTGCCAGCGCTAGAGTAAAGGAGAGAGCTGAAATCCCGAACATCCAGACCCTAGGTAACCCAGGAGCCCACGCACGCACGGCAGATTTGCTTGTGAAAGTCTCTGTGATGAGTTCAGTGGCCTCCCCCTCAGCATTCCTCAGGCGGCATTCACGGATCACTGGATCTTGGAGAAGATGCTGGATGACATCGGGATGGGAGCTTTCAACAAAGTACCTACAAGCAGGAAAGGAAGGAGGTACCTACTGACCACTTCCTCATTTCCAAAAGACTTTGCTAATCACTTGATTCAATGGTCTGGAAATAGTGGTCTCATAATGACTTTCCTTACTATTTTGTTTCCCCTACAACTCTCTGCCAAATCACAGCTTCGCTCTGACCAAACAGAGGGTTGGGGGCAAATCCCTACTTTGAAGTCAAGTCAGCCAGGGGTCTGAGCCCTAGCTCCCTTATTAGTGGAAACACAGTGGCCAGCAAATGAATTTCCCGCATGAACCATATCTCTTGTTCTTTTTATCCGTGCTTTAAGGGAGTGAGATGTTTGCACAGAGCAGACAGCCCATGCACAATTAACTCTTGCCCACAGCCCTTCCTCCTATCTAATGCATGGAGGATCACAGTGCCTTGGGATGGGCCTATCACAGAATCTCTTACCTGTTGTGTTTTAGGACCAGCTTGACTTTCCCATAGCTGACTGTACACAACTGCAAGTAGACACAACACCCAACAGGCAAAATTAGCAATGAGCAGCTCATTCAGAAACATTCTCTACTGGTCAATCTTACCATCTACCAACCAAGTGAACAGCTGGGTTTACTTTAGCAAAACCCAATGTATGATCCTAAAACAGATAAGCCTAAACAGAACTTCTTTCACTGGCTTCTGCTTTTTGACAAAACCTTCCTCCTGCCTAGCTAATTCTCAACCACATCTCTTAATTTATAAAACACTGCTTAAACTCCCCTTTTTGTGTTTCTCATTTTTACTTTCTTCATGCCAACAGCCCCCATCCTAATCCAGAGGTTTATCCTATCACAACAATATTACTATAGCTCCTAGCATGCAAGTGTGCATGGAGTATATACTTAGTAATTACTTAGTAATAACTAATAACTTGCTGCATAAAGAAAATATAAAATCACCTAGCCTTCCCATCAATGTTCTTATTTCTTCAACTAGAATTTAGGGAATACAGCTTAAATCCTCTCAGCTTTCCAACAACCTTCAGGAAGGAATCCAGCAGAGATTATGTGGTGGCCATAAAAATCTTCCACTCAGACCTTGGGCTGCTGCCTACTTCTGCTGCCCCTCTGATCCACCACTGCATTGCCCCAGGGACCAATACAGGACATTTCCAGAAAAGTCCTCTCTCTAGACACCTTGCAAGAAAAAAGAACTCTCTCCAGAGTTCCTGCCAGTTTCCCTGGGAGTGGATGCCTAATGGCCTTTTCTGCCACTCCAGAATTGGAATATGAATCAAATTCCCATTAGATCAGGCAAAGATAATGAAAGTCACCATTCATCTCTTCTGAATAGCATTCATCCATGTTCAAATGCTGCTCAAACATTACTTCAATATTTGAAGTTCTTTTTTACTATCCCTAATAGAACTCATTGACTCTGAATCTCATGCAAGTATTTACCCTTAAATGGAGTTTGGCAACTGTATCAGTCAGCTTAGGCTGCCTTAACAAAATACCACAGAGTGAGTGTCTTAAACAACATTTTATTTTCTCCGAGTTCTGGAGGCTAGAAATTCATAATCAAGGTACCTACTGATTCAATTTCTGGTGAGGGTTCTATTCCTGGCTTATAGACTGCTACCTTCTCATTGTATAATACAACAGAGAGGCAGATAGAGCTCTCTAGTGTCTCATAAGGATACTAATCCTATTGGATCAGAGCCACACTCTTAGGTCTTCATTTGGTTGAAACAAATATAATCAAAAGCATCAGGATTTGAACATACAAATTTTGGGGGACACAATCCATTCCATCACATCACCCATTTTGGGCTGCTTTCCCAAATAACCCTGGCCAGTATATGTCTGAATTACTACCCCCACTGTGTTAATACAACACTGGGTCCACGGGAAGAGCAATGGGTTGTTCAGTTATTATGCTTCCCACAAAAGATACGAATGGCACATTTTCATAGCTATCATAGAATGATAATCAATAGCATCTAGCCCCATTATTACCACACTGTCAAGGCAGGCAGAAATGCTAGCCTCAGCCCCGACTTGCCTTAATAAACTGAATAATTCCATCAGGGACTCCAGTCTTGCTGAGCTTCCTGAGGTACTCAGTGATGTCACTGGTTTGCAGCCCAACACTGACAGCTGCATACAAGGAGTAGGCAGTTAGCTTGTACTCATGTACATGGGTTGGTCGGCACACTGGCTCTGCAATAGCCACCAGGAAGTCTTGGGCATATTTGTAAACTGGAGAGAAAGCTTCCAAGAAGATGTGGCCATCAGGAGCCTGAGAAACACAAAATCAACACAACAGACAAGAACTAATGAGATGCAAAAACTCAAGACTCTTTCCCATATTGTTATCAAGAAAGGATAAGCTATCTGACACGAGGGATACCTGTGCAACCAGTACTTCAGAGAACTGTAGGTACTGTTACTTTAACCAGATACAGAAGAGCAGGGGAAAACAGAAGAAGAGGTTTCCCAAATTAGTATCTGTTTCCCACTGTTCTGCAGAGGAAAATCTTCCCCACATTACTGGCTATCCTCAAACTACTTTTTGGCTAGATTTCAACTGAGTATAGAACATTAATTATTTTAATGTTGAGCAAAAGCTGGCTACTAAAAAATGATGAAATAAATTGTTAACAGAATAAATGCTATTTATTAGGCCAGTAAAGTACTTTCAAACATGTAGTAGGTAGTACTAGGGAAGGAGTGGAAGTGAAAGGGTTAGAGATGAAGAAAGCCCAAGCATGTTTGGCTGACCTATGTGTGACCAGCTGTTCAAACAGCTGGTTGGCTCTCCCAGGGGGTTCTGAGGGGCTGTATCCCACATTTTGGAGTCTGAGAATGTCCAAGATTTAGCTGCCACTCTAGACCTTTGGGCCCTGCCTGACAGAAGGCATGCTTACCACCCAGAGGGGTCTGGAGGTGTGGTCATCCTTCAGTGGCATCTGCAGCCTGTAGTCCTTGGCTCCGTATTCATCCACTTTGGTCCCGGCCTCATCCACCTGCTTCCCGGCCGCCGAGGGGACTGCCTCCTGAGAGTCGTTTCCAGGGGTATCATCTTCATCTTCCTCTTCATCCTCATAGTGCCGTTTCTTGGACTTCTTCTTGTCTGCGGATACCGACACAGAAGTGAGCCCAGCGGGAATCTCAGTTCACTATGCACTACAGGCAGGAACCTGGAAGCAGCTTCATTCCACGGGCGCCTCAATCTCCTAAGCAAGAGCCATCTGAACCCCGCAGGCGTCCAGTCCCTCAACCTCCTCCCACCCACAGCCGCTGGTAGGGCTAGGCCCAGGTCCCGCATCTCCCCAGCCCGGCGGTCCGCGGGACAAGGTGTACGCGCGGGATCGGCCGCAGCCAATACAGCCCGGGCAGCTCTGACACCGAACAGTGAGAGCGGGGCCGACAGGAACAGAAAAGACACACCGCGCCCGTGCCTCCTCTCACCGCGGTCCGCCCGGTCTCTTTTGCCCATGGCAGCGACGTTAACAGCCCTTGGACACCCCCAGCGCCGGCCGCTCACCGTGGCGTCTTCTTTCAGAGGAACTTCCGGCCCACAACGGAAGCTTAGCACCACTCACAGGAAGTCCCGCCTTTGGTCTCAGGTCCGGGAAGGGAAGGGTTCGAGAGGTGTAACAGGTTTCGGTCACGTGTTGCGGACGACCTCTAGTCCGGAAGGAGGTGATTGTGGAGCGTCGGTGTCTTTGGGCAGCTCGCTATAGTCGCTGGGGTAGAACATTGAACAAATTAAAGGCCTTGTCCTAGAATTTAAGTTCCAAAGGAGCCATGAACGAATAAATATGGTGCGAAGTGCTCTGAGGTAAAATAATACGGCCCAGAATAATGGGCAGGTGCCATTATAGAGTGGTCCTGGAATACCCCTCCTAAGTGGAGTTATGTGAGCTGCAAAAATGATGTTCCTAGGGAAAGGTGTAGATTTGGAGGGTGGTCTTAACGTATTATATATGAGGCGGCTGTATTAGTTTGCTCAATTTTTTCATAACAAATACCACAGACTACATCACTTAAACAGAAATGTATTTTCTCACTGTTCTGGAGGATAAGGTCCAACCTGATTGGGTTCCTGGTGAGGGCCTGATTATTGGCTGGCAGAAAGCCACTTTCTCCCTGTGTCCTTTTGACGTCTGTTTACTTGTAAAGACACTAGTCCTATTAGATTAGCCCCACCATTACTACCTCTTTTCAACCCGCATTATTCTTTACAGACCCTATTTTCAAATACAGTCATAGTGAGGGCTAGGCCTTCGATATATGAATTTTGGAGAAGATGCTGTTCCCATAGCAGTGGCCTATTAAACAATTAAGAGTCAAGAACAATATTAGATATGAGTCTAAAGTTCTGGATAGCATTATAAATTTGGGAATTGTCAACATATCTCTGGTATTAAAGCTATAGAACTGGTTGAGGTTACGTAGGGAATGAGTGAATGTAGGTAGAGAAGAGGCCCAAGGACTGACTGAGGACCTTTCATAGTGAAGAGGTTGCAAAAAAAGCATGGTACTGGTACCAAAACAGGAAGGTAGACCACTGATACAGAATAGAGGACACAGAGACCAATCCACAAAATTACAACTACCTTATATTAGACAAAAGTGCCAAAAGCATGCAATGGAGAAAGGATAGCATCGTCAACAAATGGTGCTGGGAGAACTGGAAATCCATATGCAACAAAATGAAGTTGAATCCCTCTCTCACGGTGCACAAAAGTTAACTCAAAATGGATCAAGGAGCTGGGAAACAAACCAGAAACTATGCATCTGATAGAAGAAAAAGTTGGCTCTGATCTACATATTGTGAGGTCGGGCTCCAAATTCCTTAATAGGACACCTAAAGCACAAGAGTTAAAATCAAGAATCAACAATTGAGACGTATTCAAACTAAAAAGTTTTTTCTCAGCAAGAGAAACAATAAGAGAGGTAAATAGGGAGCCTACATCCTGGGAACAAATATTTACCTCTCACACTTCATTTAGAGCTCTAATCTCCAGAGTATACAAAGAACTCAAAAAATTAAACAAGAAAACAAATAATGGGCTGGGGATGTGGCTCAAGCAGTAGCGCGCTCGCCTGCCATGCATGTAGCCCGGGTTCGATCCTCAGCACCACATACCTACAATGATGCTGTGTCCGCCGAGAACTAAAAAATAAATATTAAAAAAAAATATTTAAAAAAAAAGAAAACAAATAATCCAATCAACAAATGGGCCAAGGATCTGAACAGACACTTCTCAGAGGAGGATATACAATCAACAAATACACGAAAAAATGCTCACCATCTCTAGCAATCAGAGAAATGCAAATTAAAACCACTCTAAGATACCATCTCACTCCAGTAAGATTGGCAGCCATTATGAAGTCAAACAACAAGTGCTGGCGAGGATGTGGGGAAAAGGGTACACTTGTACATTGCTGGTGGGACTGCAAATTGGTTCAGCCAATTTGGAAAGCAGTATGGAGATTCCTGGGAAAGCTGGGAATGGAACCACCATTTGACCCAGCTATTCCCCTTCTGGGACGATACCCAAAAGACCTAAGAAGAGCGTACAACAGGGACACAGCTACATCAATGTTCATAGAAGCACAATTCACAGTTGCTAGACTGTGGAACCAACCCAGATGCCCTTCAATAGAAGGATGGATAAAAAAACTGTGGCATTTATACATAATGGAATATTACTTAGCACTAAAAAATAACAAAATCATGGCATTTGCAGGGAAATGGATGGCATTAGAGCAGATTATGCTAAGTGAAGATAGCCAATCCCTGAAAAACAAATGCAGAATGTCTTCTTTGATATAAGGGGGGCAACTCAAAACAGCAGGGAGGAAGAGCATGAGAAGAAGATTACCATTAAATAGGAATGAGAGGTGCGTGGGAATGGGAGAGAGGAGGGGAATTGCACATAAGATGGTAGGAGACCCTCATGGTTATGCAAAATTACGTATAAGATGGTGTGAGGGGGAAGATAAAAGAGAGAGAAACATGTTACAGTAGATTGGGTAGAAAGAGGTGATGGGAGGGGAGGGGAGGGGAGAGGGGATAAGAAGGGCAGCACAATACAATAGACAATAGTATGGCCCTATGTATAAACGTGGCTGTATAACCAATGTGATCCTGCAATCTGTACATGTGGAAAAATAAGATTATGTACCCCATTTGAATCAAATGTATGATATGTCAAGATCATTGTAATGTTTTGAGCAACTAATAAAAAAATTAAAAAAAAAAAAAGGAGGGCTGGGGGTGTGGCTCAAGTGGTAGCGCACTCGCCTGGCATTCATGCGGCCCGGGTTCGATTCTCAGCACCACATACAAACAAAGATGTTGTGTCCGCTGATAACTAAAAAAATAAATATTAAAAAAAAAAAAGGAGTCTCGGGTAACACCACCCGAAGGGCAATCAGAAGATGGTAAAATTAGGAGGCCTGGAAGTGTTCATTTCATTTCAAAGTGGAGGAAGGAATCAACTGTGTCAAATGCTACTGATCAACAGATTAGATTAAAGGATTAGATTAAAAATTGAGACTCAGCAATAGATTTGCAATGCAGAGATCAGTTCTTTGCTGAATGACTTTAGTACATTGAAGATTTGCTGTTGGCCCATGGTCTAAGTGAATTTCACTGAAGAGGTGGAAGAACCACACTTTTTAAACTGGCTTTTATGCTGATAGTGGTGGCACACATGCCTGAAATCCCAGCTACTTGGGAGGCTGAGACAGGAGGACTTGCAAATTTGACATCAGCCTTACCAATTTTGCAAGACCCCATCTGAAAAGATTAAAAAAAGAGTCTGGGAATGTTGTTCAACAGTAGAATACCCTTGGATTTAATCCCCAGTTCTTAAAAAAAAACCAAACAAACAAACAAAAAAAACTAATAAGTGAAACTGACTTTTATATTTTCATGTTTTCCCCTTGTTTAAAGTAAAAAAATCTTGGGAATTGGTAGAAAATATAGCAAAGCCTACTTAAACCACACACAACACTACCCTCTAGCTGTCTACTTTAGGGATGGGAGGAGGGGTGGGGATGGGGGACCCTGGGCTTTCTTTGCAATTGCTAGTTAAGCACTCTATCATTGAGCTACATTCCCAGACTTTTTTTTTCTGTGAGTAGTTTTCTCTCTCTCTTTTGTTTGTATGAGTAGGTGTTTTTATACCATGAAAATATTACTTGTCCAAATAATATTGTGAGCTACAAAAATGATGTACCATATTGACATATGGTGATTTTATATCCTCCTGAGTTTTATTCACTTCTTAAAGTGAGTGTTTAATAACAATTTAATATTTCATTGCATGACAATATCATAATTTACTTAGCCAGACCCTAGTTGGGAGCATTGGGATGGTACCTGTTTACCCAGTTATGAGTAGCTCTATGATGAATATCTTCAGATACAAATTATGTATTTTTTTGTACCAGAGATTAAACCCAGGGGTGCTAAGCCACTGAGCCATAGCCCCAATATTGGCATCAGATCAATATTGGCATCAGATTCACCATTTTAGGTCAGGAGCCATTTTATCTAGAGGTTCCAAAGTTTCAATTCTGAGGCAGTGCTGCTTAAGAACAAGTGCCTGCTAAAATAATCAACCCCATCTAGCTTAAACTCCTATGCAGCTTATGAGATTCTTCTTGCAGGCTATAAAGCTGCTCTTTAAGTGCCAACAGGCTGCTGCTCTCCTTGAAGGGACAGCCTTGTTGTTATGCCTCCTGTTACGGACAATAAATCTCTTGCGTGACATTCTGGTGTGTGGCATGATTCTTGGACTTCACATGGACTCTGCAAGTGTCCTTTCACCCAGCCTATTTTATTATTTTATTTTGAGGCCGGATCTTGCTAAATTGCTTTGAACTCAGGATCTTCCTGCCTCAGCCTCCCAAACCACTGGGATTACAGTGTGAGCCGCCGCACTCAATCTGGTGTAAAGGCATTTTTAAGATATGATTAACAGTCACAATTAATAGAGTTTAAGTAAAGTTTATCCTCAGTAATGTGAGTTGACCGATCCTATCACTTGAAGGCCTTCAGGGCAAAGACAGGCTGAGTCTAGTGGCACACACCTGTAAACCAGCAATTTGGGAGGCTGAGGCAGGAAGATCACAAATTCCAGGCCAGTCTAGGCAATTTATCAAGACTCTCTCTCAAAATAAAAACAAAAGAATTGAAGGTATGGCTCAGTGCTAGAATGCCCCCTGGGTTCAGTCCCTAATACCACCAAAAAATAAAAATTAAAAAAAAAAAGCTTACAGTTTTTCTGAGAATAAGGGAATTCTGCCTCCAGACTACAAGAGAGATTCCAAGTTTCTAGCCTTTGTATTCAAGAGTACAACTCTTTTTTTCACATTTTTTTATTTGTGCATTATAGGTGTATATATTGATGGGAAAAATACAACATGTATGTGAATTTCTGACTTGCTAGCTCCTACAGCTATGTGAGCCAATTCCTTAAACTAACTATCTCTTGCTTTCTCACTCTTTTTCAATGAAAGATACATTCCTTCATTTGAGATAGGTGGGTTCTCAGGAGAGAAAAAAAAGAGACTCTTAGTAGATAGAGACCCAGATCTGCAAGCATAACCAATCATACTTGCCCCTTTAGTTAGATGAACAAAACCTTTAGCATATAGGTCAACCAGAATGAAAACATAACCAATTTAAACTCATCACATTCAAAGACTTATACAACATGCCCACAATTAATTTATAGCTAGACTGCTTAGACAAAAAAGGAAACACTGTGAACCCCAAATATCAAATGACTGTCATGGCATTTGATTTTTAAAGAAGCTTCCTTGAGAATCTGTGCACTTCTTCCCAGAAAAGTCATATATAATCTGAGAGCTCAACCTTAGGTGTGTCACTTGTTTTCTCTTCCCCAAGAAGTGAATGGCACTTGTGCCCTGTGTTTGGGGTGTGTAGTCCTTTGCTGGTCTTCAATAAATCTTTGCTTGTGCCTTGCTTTGGATGCATCTTGGAATTCTTTTCAGCAACATAAGTCAAGAATCCACCTGGCTGAGTTGAGCTCATATTTGAAGGGAAAGCAAGGAACAAGAGACTGGTAAGCGAGTAATGAAAGACGGAGACCAGGCAGAGATATACACAAGAATTTGTCAGAGCTGACAAATAAAGGCCATCTCTCTATAAGAGAAAGCGGCAAAACAGGCTTGAATTCTGGGGCTTTTATGGGAGAGGCTCAGGAATCAGTGCCAGGCGGGTCCTAATGTGGGTGGTTAAGGGCTGGGTTGGTGTGGGGGAAAGGCCCTTCTGTGGGAAAGCAAAACTTTTTCCTTAAAATGGCGGCTGTCACTTAAGATGGCCATTCAGATGCTAAAGCAAGGATCTTATACTATTGTCCCCTTGGGGATTCCTCCTTGGACCCCTGTCCTGTGACACTGTTAGAAAGAACAAGGTGCCACAAGAAATCAAACACAAGCTCTAAAGTGGGTGGGCAAGGCATTTTCTTCTAAGAGAACCCGGCTGACAAGCAGGCCTGGTGGGCAGTCCATCAGTTTACATACCTAATGAAGCACTGCCCTTCATCCTGATTCGAAACTCAGGGCACAATTAGGGGTACAATCAACAATAGTTAACAGGAAAGGACTATAATTAAAATGGCTACAATTTGATCCAATTAAGGCAGAATAGTATTTTCTGAAAATGGACCACCAGGCTTTTTATTTCTCAGACACTAGGAGTCATTTCTCTGAAGAATCATGACTAATACAGATTTTGGTTCAGGGAAATAGGGTGCTGCCATTAGCAATATCTAAAAACGTGGACATGGTTTGGAATTGGGTAATGGGTAGAAGTTGTAATTTTTTTTTCCCCCCAGTACTAGGGATTGAATTTAGGGCCTCTTGCTTGCTAGCTAGGCAAGTCTCTATTACTGATCTATATCCCAAGGCTGAAAGAATTTTGAGGTGTATTATAGGAAAACTTTAGTTGTCTTGAAGAGATTGGTAGTAGAAATATGGATTGTCTCAACCCCTTGCCCCTAGCAACTGGGATTACAGGTGTGTGTGCCACTGTGCACAGCCAATTTTAGGTTTTTATAGGCATACCTTACCACATTCATAATGATTTCCACAGGATTCATTCCTAGACATTAAAATTGCTAGGTTAGAGAGGACTCCTCTGAGGCTTGGGCTTGCATGCTATATGAAGGTATTAATTTAAACAATCTTTATGAGAAACCAATCTTCTTCCTTAGAAGGTAAGATAGTAGGCTTTGTGCTTTATTGCTTGTTTTGCTTTTTTTGTTTGTTTGTTTTACTAGGAATTGAACTTGGGGCACTTTACCACTGAGCTACATCTTCAGTGCTTTTTTAAAAATTTGAGATAGAACTTTATTGAGTTGCTCTCTCCTAGAGAGTCATCAACTCAAGCAAGAAGCTACATTTGCAAACACACTGTGTCCAAGAAGACATTAGAACAAAACAATCACAGTGGAAATAAATATCAGCTTTATTAACACTCAAAGTGCCATTCATTTATATTCATTCCATAGTCCAGAAGGCTACTTAGAGTAAGCCTTTGCACCACAATCTTTCCAAAAAAAAAAAAAAAAAAGAAATAATATGTAAGAAAAAGCAATTTTCATTGTGCTAATAATTGCAAGCCTTCATGCATGATATATCTAAACAAAGATGTGTGCCAACAATATACAAATTTTCATATAAACAAAGTCATTGATAACTAACAAAATATAAACATGGTTTCTTTTATATTAGATTTTAAAAAAAGCTATTTACCAGCAAGAAAAAAATAAGAACATAGAAATTATAAAACTCAAAAATTTTATACATTTTTACAAGCACAATTTTGAATGAACATAAACTCAAAATGTGCATGAAATGTGGCACATACCACACTATAACCTGGCTTCTGGTAGGTTCTAATCACACCGGTTCCTTTTAACATAGTATTCTTAGTGACATTCAACCTCAACATTGGACTTTATTCCTAACACTAGTAATTTTACATGGTACTGCATATTAAAACAAGATTTTCTTCAAATACAGTAACATTGTCAGACCGGAAACCTAATTTCCAATTCTTTTTCTGCCAGTTACTTAAAACACAGTACAGTATAAAGACACAATAATATATGTTTGGACATTTCTAAACCAATTTTTAATCAGTCACAGAGAATCACAATATTCCATTGTATTGTTTTATAAAACCAGTCTGACCTTGCCCGTTAGGAGAAAAACTAAAAGGTTGTAATCTTTTAGGGGTATAACAAAGAAAATATTTAAAAAACAACAGTAGGACAGGCCCACAGCAACTGGAGATATAAAAATCTTGACATCTTTTCAAAACAATTTCATTTCTCACATTTTTTTTTCATAGCTTTGAGAATTCAAAGGCCATGTTAGTGGACAGTGTGTTTTGCTACTGCTTAAAGCCTGTCTTTCTCTTAATTTTAATTGAGCTCTAAGTACAACTTGTCTCCAATTCTGGAAATACAAATACATCTTAAATGGTTAAAAACAAAATTAAAAAAATATTTTGATCAGCCAGCTGAAAATATATTCATATAGTAAATAAATCTCTCAGAAAGCTTTTATATATATTTAATTATCCTAACTAAATAGTACCCTTATAAAACAAGTTCATAAAAATGTAGAAATGAAATGAAAATAAGAATTTACTGGGATATATATACATGTGCCTACAAACAGAAAAAGACATTTCCACACATACACACATCCCCGATACAGAGTTACAAAGCATACTTACAACTTAGTAATGGATTTTAGAATACAGTTATAAAATTAGAAGGTAAACTGGAACTCCTGAGTTCTTAAGACAAAGATAGAACCATAGATAAGTTTTAGAAGTAAGTCAGACATAGCAGTGCAGTAACTGATGGCTACATCTTGAGAGAAGTTGAAACAGACACAGACAGTAGTTTAATGCACCCATTCATGACGCTCATACACTCAACAATTATTGGTCAGAGTAGTAAATCAGTGTACAAATGAAACATTTCCAAAAATGTGCAAAAAGTCAACCTTAATAGGAAACAAAAAACCTCTGTATATAATTATAAACTGCCCAGCATTCAAATGAGATTAAAAACATTTACTGAGAGAAACCAATGTTAAATATAGAGATTTAATGGCTACTTTTAAAAATGTACATTAAGTCAAAGGGTTAATTTACAAATTGATAATCATAGTTTGCAACAATTAAAAGTTTATTTTTAAATTTATCCAAGTTTGCTTTTATTTACAATGAATAAAAAGAATCATGTGAAATGTAAGAGATGTCAGACATTAAAAGTATTTTTGGTATTAACTTTTTTATAATATTTCAGGATGCAGGGTAGCAAATTTAAAAACCAACAGTGATAGAAAAAATGTAAACCTTTTGCTAAATAAGATTGTATTAAAACAATAGCTTGTGTTTAAAGAAGTATTCTTATCCCTATATACTATACTTTTAATTGAAAAGAGTGTTTTAAGGGTTTGGCCCCCTTTTCTTTTGCCCATAAGTCTTTCAGCTCAAATGTTTTCACTAGTCTTCTCCTTATACCAGGTGGAAAAAAAATTTCTTTGGAAAAATGAGAACATGTCAAATTCATTCTGGAGTCTAAGCATCTAACAGAGTTTAAGATATAATTGCATTACTTATCTCTCCCCTTTAAGTAATGCTAATGCTAAAATTATAATTACATGATTTTTAAAAAGAAGTTTTAAAAATATATAAATAAGTGAACACAAAAGTGCTTTTCAGGATAGTCATAAACTTTTCTCAACTGGCATTAAGAGACTTAGATTATTTGGGGACAAATTCTGCACATATACTAAAAAGTAGACATCTCCTTATGTTCCAAAATGTCTATGGCACAAAGCAGACATCAGTCATAACCTATTTTTCTTCACAGCTTTGCTGAAATGCCCCGCAAGTCAAATACAAGCTCATAAATGTTAAGACACTAGAAGAAGATACGCCACCACCCTGAGGCACTGGACGTCAATATGTATCTGCATGCATCTGTGCTCAAGTGACATTAGTAAGATTGGCACGTGTACAAGCTTCATTTTGTAATGTCTACTTAACTCCTTAATAGTTGAAATAAATTCTGTACCTCTAAATGCAAACACTGAGCACCTGTCCTTTTCCTTGAATGATAGACCAGTATACAAATTATACTAGTACCTGCTTTATTATTTTTATTCTAGTAGCTTACAGTGGGCAGATATAACAGTGTGAATCATTTTGGCTATGTGTGCAGGGAATATAAAAGCTTTGGTTTAAAGTAATTCTAAAAATACAGATTGTGATGCAAATACGAAGTCATCAGGCAGAGGGAATAATAGTATTCATGATTTAATGCCTTTGTTGTTATTAACAACAATATGACTGTCAATTAAAACGCACAATTATGAAAAAACCCAAAGAATTATGTAAGAGACTGTGTACGAAAACAGACACAATTTACTTTCATTTACTATGACTCCTCCCTCACCTTCCTGAAACTCTGTCTTGACTACTGTCACTTCCACTGAGAAAAAAAAAAAAATCTCTAAGCTCCTGAGAGCGCTCTACAGCTCTGAAAGGAGAGGATGGAGAAAGATGGATGGCCCTGATCCTTCCCATACCTATTAGGGCATGTTGCTCAGACCATGGCAGAAGTCAAAGCAAAGTTAAAAGATGACGATGAAGGAGGAACAGTGGATTCACAGCATGCCTTCCCTAGCCAACCAATAAGAGGTATAAGAGAATTTCCTTTTGAATACTTGGTAAGCTAAGGAAGCTGGTTTAGATAATGTCTGGCAGAAATTCTATCCAAAAGAATTCATGAAGAACTATGTTAAGATCAATTACTTTCTATTTAAGAAGTACACATAAGCTCATTTTTACACACACACACATACACACACACAAATTGAATTTTAGTCTATTTTTAGCAACTAAAAGTTTGGCAATTTACAATAAATACCTTTATTAAAAATCACTTATACTAGCTACTTATGAAAAATGTACTGGCGTTCCTACTTGAGGATGATTACTGTCATCCATCATCAGTAGGTCTTAACATTTTTTGAGTTGTTCTTCCAAGAATAAAGACTGATCTAATCGAGAATTCATATCTTTGCTTCCTTCCCACCCTTGCTCCAATTCCAACCACATGCACGCCCACGCCCGCGCCCGCGTGCACACACATGCACTCTCAATTCTCTCTTCACAGAAAAGCTAGAATATTAGTAAAAATGTTAGTTTAAAACTAAGGATTAGAATTCACTACCCCTGTATTTCCTGCTCAATGCCCTAAGTCTCATTGCCTCAACATTTTAAAACTATTTAAACGATCTCTTTAGGGCAAAAAACAACCACTCTAGCTCAGCTATGAAAAATCACAACTAAATCATAGTATAAAGAACTTGGACGATGTCAATGTGATTAAAAATCAAGTAGTCAACTCAGAAAACAATTTGTTATCTTTCTTTAGAATGAGAATCCATCTTACTATGTTTATTTTAGGAATTCATGTCTAGTGGAGACTGCAATGTGTCTATCACAAATGCTAATGTTTCTTCTCTCCTAACATTAAAAAAAAAGAGGTAGAAAAAGATAGGAGGAGGAAGCAGGCATTAAGAAACATTTAAGGGCCAATAAACAGTTTAAGGCCAAATGAATTCATGAAGCCTATTGATTTTGGAAAAACATCTTCATTTTGGTGGGTAACTTGAATTAGTAAAATAAAATAAAATTAAGGCATACAGAGAAAAAGGCACTACTAAAAATTAACAACTGCTTTACATTAACTGTTAACCAATTTAAAAATTCAAATAAATATGCACATTATAATAAAAATAAATGCTAAGCTTAAAGATAAAATAATATGGTCTGGAGAAATTGTCAAGCATAAATAACAATGTTGACAGAGTTAATTTTATATCAAATGTTTTCGGTATTTTCACAATTTAGACAAAAAGAAAATATTTTTTTTTCTTTCAAAGAAACTGCTGGGTGAAAAAACATCGTGTTTTGGAATAAATGTTTCCCCTCCCTGGAACAATTTGAGTAAAGGTTGTGTTTTGTAGTAACAGAGGGTCCTGAGAAAGAGGTTGTCTGGCCTAGAGGGGAGGACTCCAATTTGGGGACACTTTTACTCTAATTCCTCCTTAATGACATTTTATAAACATTTTAGTTTATAACTGCCAAATAAGATTAGCCCAAATTGCTTTCCCCTTACCTTCATTAAAAAAAAAAAAAAAAGAAAGAAAGAAAGAAACATAACATTTTAAAACATCACTGCTGAACTTTCAAGAGTTAAGGTATGGCATGAAGTAGATTAACTATCTGTTGTCCATGTTCTTGCTAGACTGTGACCTAGGATGTAATTCAGTGCCTGACAAAGTAAGTCACAGTTACTAAATAAATAAATGAAAAAAGAAATTCACCCTATTTTAAAGAAAATGGATAGATTTATATATTTGATTGACATCATGTGGTTTTATATAAAACTATTGGCTCCTAGACCCCCAAATAATATTGTTGGCAGAGAATTCTGCCATGGGCCAAGGAGTTTGCAGGTAGCTTGGTCACCTTGATAAACCACACAGGTTTAATTTTATTTCCTTAGTGATTTCATATACCTTATAAACCACGCCATCTCAGATAAACCACAGATCAGACCTAACCTATTTCAGAGCTGTTGTAGCAAAAAGCTTTAAAGAAATATTTTCATTCTTTTCATGTAATTCCTATTGGGAACAGAGTAAAGACCCTTAAATAAAAGCCAATTCGATTTATTCTGAAATCAAAGTTCGAATTTCCTTTTGTAGTTCAGTATGTGCATACTCAATTTCTTACATATATTAAGGGTGTGCCTTTTAAAACTTTAAGGCAGTATAGTCTTAGTCATTTTTAAAGTAAAAAAATGCTTTGTAAACAAGGAAAAGTGCTAGGATTTTTCAAGACACTCATTCTGAAATTTTCAGTCTGTGTATCTTTAAATACATTTTAAAGAATTAGCAATCCATCAAAATTTCCACTAGTCATTATGTTATTTTTCAACTCTTTAAATTCAATATACTTCACAATGTAAATGATCTTATATTTGGTCCAAGCCTAAGTCATGCCACTTTGAATCTCTCAAGGCCTCAGTATAAAGGTATTTCCTGAAAAGCACATATAAGACTGCTAGTAAATCTTCTCCAGCACCAAAAAGTCTGCCACTGTCAAAGCAGAATGCATTTTAAAGGCACAAAGTCAGCAGTCTGGCCATTTTACAGCCTCAGCAAAGAAAAACTAGAAGAATCAGTTGTGCATTTAAAAAACAAAATACATTTATAGTCATCTTAAAAAGTTCAAATTTCATTTGTTGACCCATACCAACATTAGAAAGAAGAAAAAACAGAGTGTAATATTTAATTTCCCCTGATAAATGTGTTTCCTTCCAATTTTTTTTTAAAATTTACCTTGGTCTTCCATGCCCCCACCCCCATGTCAAGCTTTTTTTGTTCTAGTAGTTTTTATATATATTAGCGTTTATTTGGTTTTTGGTACCTTCACAACTTGTTTGGAGTAAATTCACATCATATTCTATATAATAACTCTGTAAACTATTAGTCTATTTTTAAGTCTTTACATAAAAGAATAGTACTGTCCCATAGCTGATAATTTTTTCTCTTTTAAAATATAAAGCAATGGTCTTCTGCAGCAGTGTTAATGTAGTAGTTTCTTTTCGGTGCCTTCATTTTCTATAGCATTTAAAAAAGAAAATGGAGACTGAAAAAAGCAAACAATTTTGCTTTGCATTCCATAATCTCCCCAGATTTCTTTCTTGAGAGTATTTGCCTCATATTCTGTACTGCTGGTTACCCTGACAGACCAAAAATGAGCCAAAGCAAAATCACAGGAGACAAAGAAACAAAGAAAAGTCCACTGGTCCAGATAGCATGATCTTGCTCAAGTAGAAAAAATACCCTCATTCATAAAAGTTAAGAGATTATAATAGATCCACATACTTGGGGATTATGTTTCTAGCTCAAAGATTAGGTAGTGGATTCATCAAAGCAGGAGGGACCTGATTTTTGTTCTTTGCAAGCTGCTTCCTTTGATTTTTCAGAGTATGGGAGAAGCGTCAACAACTAGCAGATGGAATTTCAAATATTCCTTTCTACAGGAAATGCCAGGTGAGACCTTGATATGGTAAACCAAGACCTATCCAATTTTGAAACAAAGTACTTTTGAGTCCCTAAATGAGCGTACTTTGTGGCAGAAAATAAGAATACCTTAGTCCCTTAAGAATTCTATGAAAGGCATCACATTTAGGGCCTCCTGGAAGACTATTATTTTCTAGATCTTTAAAAATAAAGTACTTCACACTTGCTTTGATAGGCTGAAAAAAATTACAAGTAGCCAAATTATTGACATCCTCATCTTTTTAATTAGCATAATTCCATTAGAGATGGTGGAATCTTTCCCAGCTGTCTCTTTTCATTTTATGCTCCTTCTCTTAGTGGATACCCTATTCTAGAAATGCCTTACAGCATTTTAACCTTCCTGTTTACAGTAAACATTTTGTTTGATATGCTTTTCTCTGCCCATGATTATGAAGTGACTTTTAAGTAAAGAATACACACTGATGCTGAGCTCACTGATGCTAGTGACAATGCACATACCTCTTAGATATTCATATCTTCTAATCAAAACACATTGTTTCTAAAATGGAAGATTACTGATTTGGATGTAAGAGTCTGCTGGTAAAGAAGTGATTGCTACTTGCTGAGATCATTCACCCTGGGCTTAAGGCAGTGGTATCTGCTCTTATAAAACCCTAATTTTGCAATACATTAAAACCTTTTCTTTAAAATTTGCTTTTTTTTTTTTTTTTTTTTGTAATTACTACTTTGTAAATGGCTGTTTTCAGTTTATGGTTGGGACTGGCCTTTCCTTTGGGGTTTCTTAATTTCAGTATTTTTGACATTTGGGGCAGGATAATTCTTTTGGGGGGAACTGGCCTCCACCCACTAGATGCCAGAAGTATCTTCCCATTTGTGACAAACAAAACGTCTCCAGGCATTGCTAAACCCAAGTGAAATGTCCCTGTGCCACTAATGACAATCTCACTATTTTACGTGGCGTCTTATTTTCTGAGGTGCTTCAGTATTCTGTGATCCCAAGAAAAGAATTTCTTCTCATTACATTAGCTTTACACATGAATACTCCAGGCTTCACCCTTAGTTTCTAAAGACTGTTAGCTATGGGAAATCAGGAGCTAGAAATAGGAAGACAGAATATATGATTTTAATTTTTTCTCAATTTCCTTAATTTTGGGACTTCCCCCCTCAAATAAAGCACATAGTTTAAAATATGCTAAATAACACTCAATTAATTTTTTAATTATTTCTGCTTACTAGCAAATGTGGTCTCTTCTTTGCTTACACATTTAATGAGAGCAATCTCTTTTTGTCTCTTAGTTAGCTTTACTCATTGACTTCCCATATCTGCTTTAAAACAAAACAGTATTTTTTTTTAAAGCAGAACACTATCCCTCAAGGTTTACAGATTCCAGTAACATGGATCTATTATAGTGTATTTGCTTACTATACTGGTTAGAATTACAAATAAACATACCTCTTAGATATTCATATCTTCTATCAAGATTCCTACTGAGCAAAAAGCTTGGTAGACAGAGGTTATGATCTAAAGAATACAGATATAAGAAAAAATCTATATTCTTTGAGTACCTACCCTAAACTCAAGTTTAGGGCTCAACCCCACAAATGAGGAACTACTTTAAATACTATCACTAAAAACTACAAATTGTACATCATTTCCTCCTTGTCTTTCACGTCTCCCCAACACTATCAATATGTCAGCGATACAGGGAAAGACTCTACAATCTTTCAGTATTCCAAATGATTTGTTTGTACTAAAAAGACTTACTATGTACTAAAGTGCTTTATCTCTCTGAACCACATCAGTACATTATTTTAAAAAAAAAAGTAGTTGTTTCAAGTTCTTGTAAGGGAAAAAAGACTAAATATAAAAAATTTAGTTTACTATTATTATTATTAAACAAATTAAACCAAGAATCAAGAGAAATACTTTCCCTCTTGTCTTTTTTCTCCCCCATCTCTCTTTTTTTATAAAAAAAGAAAAGTGCAGTCAGAGAGAAGGTGAACGATCAGATGGGAGCTGGGTGGAGGCACAGGAGAGGTTACCAGCTGCTAGTGATAATGCACAAACATGTGCCTTAAGAGTTCATCAGCTGAAGGTCTCAGTTTGGCCTCTACAAAAATCCGTTTGAGGAAGTCTCGGGTATAGTCTGAAACATGAGGTGGCAGCTTTGGGTTTGTTGGCTGAGTGGCAATCTTAAAGATGGCAGCCATTGCTTCAAATTCAGCCCAAGGAGGTTTTTCAGTCAGCATTTCTACCACAGTACATGCTACACTCCTAAAAAGAAATAAACAGAAATACATAATATGAGCAATAACATCAGGAAAGAAAGCAGGCAAACCAGAAAATGACAAACAGGAATAAGTTCACACACATTTAAACATGACTTGATTCAAGTTTCATTAAAACACTTTTAATTACATAAAACCATAAAATAAACATAAAAATCAAAAGCATACCACAATTTAATTACTATCATGCCATCTATGAGATGAGGCAAAGAACATTATTGATTTTATAATTCTTGCTTTATAATCTGCCTAATATTTTTTTTTTTTAATATTTATTTCTTAGTTTTTGGTGGACACAACATCTTTGTTTGTATGTGGTGCTGAGGATCGAACCCGGGCTGCACGCATGCCAGGCAAGCGTGCTACCGCTTGAGCCACATCCCCAGCCCAATCTGCCTAATCTTAAAGATAATTTTTTTGTCTTCTTTTTATAAAGAATATAAGTATTAGAAATTTTTTGCTAGAGTTTTTAGGCTGGGCATAGTGGTATATGCCTGTAATCCCAGCAGCTTAGGAGGCTGAGGCAGGAGGATGGCAAGTTCAAAGCTTGCCTCAACAACTTAGGAAGGCCCTAAATAAATCAGCAAGACTCTGTCTCTAAATAAAATATTAAAAGGGGGGAGGGGGACGGGTGGTGTTGGGAATGTGGCTCAAAAATCCCTGGTACCCAAAAAAGAAAAGAAATTGTTTGCCTTGGGGTACTTACAATAAACATCGATGAAAGTTTTTTCTGTGTGGGAAGTAGGAAATGGCCATTTTGTGTTTTATAAATTATTAAGCAATTAAAGATCAAGTGAATATTAAGAACACTGATAATAATTAATTACTTTTAAACTTCTTCTGGGTAATGATATCTATCTAATGCTAAACTTTGCTTAAGACAAATCCTTCCTCAGAAGGGAATATAGGGGGCTGGAGTTGTGGCTCAGCCTAGCATGTGTGAGGTCCTGGATTCGATCCTCAGAACCACATAAAAATAAATCAATAAAATAAAAATGCAGGGCTGGGGATGTGGCTCAAGCGGTAGTGCGCTTGCCTGGCATGAGTGCGGCCCGGGTTCGATCCTCAGCACCACATACAAACAAAGATGTTGTGTCCGCCGAAAACTAAGAAATAAATATTAAAATTCTCTCTCTCTCAAAAATAAATAAATAAATAAAAATAAAAATGCGGTGACCAACTACAACTAAAAAATAAATATTTTTTAAAAAAGAAGGGAATACAGGTTCCAGGACTCTATAAATATTTAGTTAAGTATAGTCTCAACAAGACACAGTTAAAATGATGTTAATCCTTACAATTCATACAGCCTAGTTCAAAAGATAAATAATTTAAATCTGGCTTAGTATTTTCAATTCTGACTGAAAATACACATAAGGTAAGTTTTCAGGCAAATCTCACATTAAAACCTACCAGATATCTGCTTTTCTGCCATAGCCTTCTCCACTGATGACTTCAGGGCTCATCCAGTATGGTGTACCTGTGACAGACTTCATTCCTGTTCCAGAGAGACAGATGGTCTGAAGCCGTTTGCTGGCCCCAAAATCACCTAGTTTGACATTGCCTGTTGAATCTCGCAGTATATTTGCGCCTAAAAATAAGAGAGAACCTCACTTCGTTAATTGTACTAGCATTCTTGAATATAGTAAAAAGAACAATGGCAGAGAAGTACTTAGTAGATTTTTTCAATCTATCCAAATTGTTGCTTTTCATCTTCTGAGGTGATGATGAACTGGCATACTACCAGTTACACAGTTGGAGCTAATTAAGGATTTGCTGGGTGAACACTGAATTTTTAATCAACTGTGTTATGCTTCAGAACCTAAGAAGGTTCTCCCACTCAAAAAAACTGTGGCAGAGTGGCGGGGGTGGAGGGTGAACAAGAAGAGAAGGAGTAGGGAAAGGCTAAAGAGTGAAGCTCAGTGAAGTACCAGGAAAGCACTAGGAGGCTCTTGGCCCCTGTTTCTCTGTCATAAAGGAAGAAGAGCATGGTTGAAAATTATTTTCCCAAGAAGTCAGTTTCTCCTCAGGAACTTACTGAGGGTACTTTATAGTCACAAACTTCTAGCACTTTCATCCATTATTTAAATATTAGTTACCTGTATTTTAAAGTTGTTTTTTTAAAATTTTTTAGTTGTAGTTGGACACAATACCTTTATTTCACTTATATATTTCTATGTGGTGCTGAGAATCGAACCCAGGGTCTTGCATTACGAGGCGAGCACTCTACTACTGATCCACAACCCTAGCCCTAAAGTTTTTCTTAATATTGGGTTTTTGCCTTAATTTTACTTTTCCATTTCTATGATCATCTTGACATTTCTTTTTTCTTAAAGAGAGAGAAAGAGAGAATTTTTTAATATTTATTTTTTAGTTTTCAGCGGACACAACATCTTTGTTCGTATGTGGTGCTGAGGATCGAACCCGGGCCACACGCATGCCAGGCGAGCGCGCTACCGCTCGAGCCACATCCCCAGCCCATCATCTTGACATTTCTAAGAAGCACTGATAGAGATTTTTGTAGAATGTCCCTCAATTTTTTTTTTAAAGAGAGAGTGAGAGAGGAGAGAGAGAGAGAGAGAATTTTTAATATTTATTTTTTAGTTCTCGGCGGACACAACATCTTTGTTGGTATGTGGTGCTGAGGATCGAACCTGGGCCGCACGCATGCCGGGCGAGCGCGCTACCCCTTGAGCCACATCCCCAGCCCCAGAATGTCCCTCAATTTGTCTCATGTTCTTCTCATGATTAGACTGGGGTTTATGAGTTCTGTGGAAGAAAACCAGAGGTAAAGTACTAACTGAAGCCCTAGCAAGCTATTACAGGCGCATATTGTCAACATCACTGTTGATGTTACCTTTGACACTGCCTGGCTGGAGGCAGTATTTGTTGCCTTCTTCAGTGTAAGGTCACTTCTTCTATTCTATATTGTATGTACATATTCTGTTTTTTGTTTTGGCAATGGTGCTTAACCACTGAGTCACATCTCCAGTCCTTTTTTAAATTTTGAGACAAGATTTCACTAAGTTGCTTAGAGCATCGCTAAGTTGCTGAGGCCAGCTTTGAACCTGTGATCCTCCTGCCTCAGCCTCCTGAGCCACTAGGATTACAGACGTGCTGCCACCATACCCAGCTCCACATTATAGTCATCTTAAAAAAATTCATTTCGTGCAGTTCACAAGGAGAAGAGAATTGCACTCCAGGAATTTGATAAAATAATTCCTAAATTGGAATTATTCTGCAGGGAGAACTGTCCCATGTTCCCCATTGTTACGGTTTGGATGTGAGGTGTGCCCCAAAAGTTCATGTGTGAGACAATGCAAGAAGGTTCAGAAGAGAAATGATTGGGTTGTAAGAGTTTTAACCTAGTCAGTGAATTGATCCCCTGATACGGATTAACTGAATGGTAACTAAAGTGGTAGGTATGGCTGGAGGAGGTGGGAACTGGGACATGGCTTAGGAGTATATATTTGTATCTGGCAACTGGAGATCTCTCTCTGCTTCCTAATCACCACGATGTGAGCTGCTTTTCTCCACCATACTCTCCTGCCATGATGTTCAACCTCACCTCAAGCCTCAAGAAATGGAGCCAGCCTTGTCCAACTAAGATCTCTGAAACCGTCAGCTCTCAAATAAACCTTTTCTCCTCTACAAGAGTGCTCTCAAATAAACTTTTTCTCCTCTACAAGTCAGTCCTTTAGTCACAGCAGCAAAAAATCTGACTAAAACACCCATTTATTATTAAATAATTCATTTATATTTCTCTGAACACATGGATATATATTTTACACTTTGGGCTATAATCTAGTACTACTTTATTTTTGCTCAAGTTTTGTCAGTTTTGGTCACTGGGAGCCCTTTCCACGGGCTCCTCTATCTCTTTGCCCTACCTCTAAAATTGTGTTTTTGAGAAGATGCCTAGGCTCATCTTGGATATTTCCTGCCCAAGACCCAGAATCAGTAACTTCTCTAATAAGCCCTGGTTTCTTTAGGAGAGAATAGTATCAAACCCAAGATTTGCACTCTAGGCTCATTTGATTTTTGCTCTCTATTTCCCACTCATCCCTGTCCTGTTTGTTCTGCAGTACTGGAGACTAAACCCAGGACCTTATACATGCTTAGCAGACACTGTACCACTAAGATTGAACCCCAGACCTTTTATAAATTTTGAGAGAGAATATTGATAAATTTCCTATGCTGGCCTCAAACTTGGAATCCTCTTGCCTCAGACTTCCATATAGCTGGGATTACAGGCATGTACTAACACACTCAGAATCTAGTCCTTGAGACAGAATCTCACTAAGTTGTCCAAGGCTGCCTCAAACTTGTGATCCTCCAGAGTAGCTGGGACTACAGGTATGTATCACCACGCCCAGCTGATCAACTGATCAACTAAGTTTTATCACAAGTTTCATTATGAACTCATGGGTTTTAGCATACAACCAATTTTCTTTTCTTTTCTCTTACCACTTAAAAAGTTGTTCTTAAAAACTGGGAAATACAGCAAAGTAAAAAGTATATAGTAGAGAACAACTATCCCTATCTTGCCATTATATAAGATTTAATCACATGGACATTTTCCTTCTGTGTCAGACTTACATTTTATAAACCTGAGATTCTGTTACATATTCACTTTAACATCTTACTTTTCTCCCTCATCAATATTATTTGCCCTATAATGTTTTAAAATCCTCTTACTTCTACCCTCCTCATCTGACCAGGGTGGTTTATCAGTTTTTCTGGAAAGGTGAAAGAGGATTCCTGTAGTGAGTGGAACACTAAGTTTCTATGCCTTGCCTTATTATAAAGGCCAAGGAGAAGCTACTTTGAATACCCATTATTCCTAATTGAATAATTTCTCTATGAGGTACTTTTAAGTGATTAGGTTTTATACTTAACAACTAAGGTCTGCCTAAAAGGGTAGATCGTCAGCCATATTTCTTGTACCTCTCACATTCACTAGTAAGCCCTACTCCAGTACATGTGATCTGGTTCAGGCATGGTACAGATCTATTCTATCACCCAAAACTGGTTTAGGAATGAATGTTCTCCTTTGCCTGAATATGGCTACAGCCAGGATATGCTACAGTATAGGGAGGAAGCAAAAGCCCAGGACCTCACAGACTCCTTAGAAAGACCAATGAATAATGTATTTATATACAGACATTTATACTTATCAATTTATTTTTTGACTGATAAAAATGATTTCTAAATTTGGAGTCATAACCCAGCTTGTATAGAATCAGACCCTCCAGGTATGCTTTGCCATAGTTTTCATTTTCAGTACTTTCAAATTTCACACATTCCTAATACTTTTTTGATTTATATGCTTTACTTACATGCCTGATCCCTGAGAACAGTTGAGCTTTTAAGTTTAAAAAGCAAGTGTAACTGAGTTGGAGTTCTTCAAAACTCAGTCCTGTTCTCCATCCTACCCCTAGGCAATGACATTCATTCCTCTGACTTCAAATATGATCTCAACATCAAGTATGTCATCATTGTAGCTAACTTTTGAATGTCTTCTAGGTACCAGGCACTGCTCTAAGTAATCACATGCATTAAACTCATTTAATCCTTATAAGAATCTTCATGGAAGAGGAGCTAAAGTATAAGAGAAATTAGGTAAAACTTGTCCAAGATTACAGAATCAGTGCTAAATAAAGTCTGAATTTAAGTCAGGCTGTTTAGTAGTAAAGCCCCAACTCTTAGCCACTACATTATTTTGTTTTGTTTTGTTCTTTTGGTATTGGAAATTGAACCAGGGGCACTTACCACTGAGCTATACCCCCAGCCCTTTCTATTTTTTATTTTGAGACAGGGTCTTGCTAAAATGTTTTATGGCCTTGCTAAGTTGCTGAGGCTGGCCTCAAACTTGAGATCCTCCTGCCTTAGTCTCCAAAATCACTGGGACTACAGGTGTGTGCCATCATGCCCAGTTTAACCATTGCTTTATAATGCCTATGCAATATACTTACATATAGTGCATAAGTATTGCATGTATATCTTTACAGACATGGTGCCACTTATGTGATTTTGATCTTTATTGATTCTATGAATCCCCACTGTGGAGCTACTCATTTGTAGAGACCTGAATATCAGGATTGTTTTAAGGATATTGACAGTCTGTGAGAAAAGCAGGAGAACTGTTTCCCTGTGGTATTTTAGAGGCAGATATATTAATTTAAATGTTAAATATCTTGAACATATCAATTATTTCATTCAGATTCAACAAGAATTATGCACTTAAGGTAAAAAACACATTGCTTACCTTTGATATCTCTATGGACAATCATATTACTGTGCAAATAATGGACACCCTCTAGAATCTGACGGGTGTATTTCCTAGTCACATTCTCAGTAAGAGCTCCATATGCTTTTAATTGGTCCTTAATTGAGCCCTAGGATAAAAGAAAACAACAACAAAACTATGGTACGGTTTGAAATGAAAATTGCTATTAAATCTTTGTTTTTAAGAGAGTCCTAGAGTTCATGACTGGGAAGCTATAGTTGGAGAGGGCAGGAATTGTCAGTAAAGACATAATATGCAACACAATTTAACATAAAAGTCACCTACATTCCCCAACTTTAACTGTGGAAGAGTATATGCCATAGCTGAGAGAAGCTATTAAAACTATGTTTTAACTGATGCCCTCATTTCTGTGACTATGTTGGTTTTAACAACCTCCTATTCTTTGCAACTTGGTTTTTAAAGGTTCTCCAGTACATCCATCTTGCACTTTTTTTTTTTTGCCTTGAGTATACTTTTGTTTTTCTTATTTGCTCATCTATGTTCTACTTGAATATTATTTATTCATTTTTTATTCTTATTCTGTTTTTTATAAAGTGTTTTATTACATTTGCTAACTTATTACTCAGGAGAAAGAAAGAGTATGATTAGAAATCAAAACCAATTAAACTTCTAGTTCTTACTATATATACTCAACACTCTAGTTCAAAACGTAACAGAGTATAAAAAAGGGGAATATCAAACTTTTTATGTGTTTTTATAGGCCCAGGATGGTGTCTTTCTCCGAGTATGCTGAATCAGCCTGAGGTGAGACACAGGCATTTGAATTTTGAAAAAGTTTTCCTAGTGATTCCAATGTGTACATTATGGTTACTTATCAAGACTTTTAATAAATAAAAATAAATGCTTTACAGGGGAAAATTTTTTTAAAATAAGAAAATATGTCCTGATGTTTCTGTCTTTCCTTCAATTTTAGAAAACTATATACTCTGTCATACAAAATAGATCCTTGGATTTTACAGATTTAGTCATGTGGTGTTTCCATTCTTCATGAGTGATTCCTGCAGAGATGACAGTATGAAATTCTGCAGACTCAAACTCCAAACACACATGTGAAATGTTTGCCATTCATACCTGCAATCCACTGTGGCCCATTTGTTCACAGTCGATTTACTAGGTCTCCACTTGTAGTGACACACAGTATTCTGTGTATATCTCAACTACAACTAAACACTCTAGACAACAGGTAGAAAAATACTTATAGGGTTATGGGAGATATGATCCTCTGGGCAGCTGGACCAGTGGTCTATGGCTGCTAACAGCTCCATTAATGTTGTCTGTTTACACCTGTGTACTATAAAAAATTAACTTCTGCAGCATGTACAACTGGAACAGATTGAGAAGAACTGTACCAGCTAAAAACCTGTGTGTGTGTGTGTGTGTGTGTGAGAGAGAGAGAGAGAGAGAGAGAGAGAGAAAGAGAGAGAGAGAGTGTGTGTGTGTGTTTGTGTGTGTGTGTAGAAGAGGAAAAGGGAGAGGGGGAGGGGGAGGGTTGAGGAGAAGAAGGAGTGTGGAAAGAGAGAGAAGCGAAGCCAAAAGCTAGTTTAGGTATCTAAAAAATTTTTATGTAAGAAAGTTATGGTCCCAAGTATGAATACAGTTCTATACAAACCAAGGAATGGAAAGCTAAATTTGGGAAAACTGAAGAATGAAATGACAATTTTGACGTTGTGATTCTAGGTCACAAAGGAGCCCATCATATTAAATTTAATGAGAGAAATATAGCATTTCACACATTTGGGAATTCAAGAAAGTATAGGAAATATATATAAATTCAGTTATTACCATAGTCTTGCTATATTATATGTTACATGTTTAATTCACTTAGACTATCAATAAGCTATCATTAATTTAGTAACATGCTTTTCAAATTCAAGGAATGACAACCTATGCTTTGATGGAGATAGGTGCCCTTACAAAACCAAGTGTAGCTAATGAGAAACAAGATCACTCAGCTCTCCCTTCCTGAATAGTCCTGGTTTTAGTCTTAAGGTTATACGATGATTATCAAAATGAACCCAACTACTATGTACAACTATAATGCTCTGATATGTATATAAAATAAGAAAAGATTGTGAAGGAAAAAGAAAATAAAGGGAAATTATATTCAATTTGAAAAATAAAAAGTTTTGAAATATTATAATATTCAATTTAAGAAATCTTTCTACATGCATAACTATCACTTCATCATATACCAATTCAACTTAATATTTAAACAATAAGTACTTAAAATGGGTTTCATTATTTTCATTATATTCTCACAATTCAATGAAAGGAAGTTTACATTCTCAAAAAGATAATTATATAATAAATGTATAAAGATTATATATCTATACTTGATATAAATCAGTTTTAACCATTTTAATTAATCTTACCTTCAATGATGAGTTTCTATTCATACTTATTCATAATTATTTTCTATTTAACATAAATATTTATTGCACAGACAGTAAAAGAAATGTGAATAAGAAAAATCTACCATAATCACATTTTTCTAAGTTTCTTCTTTGTTCAAACAGACACATTTAAAATATTGTAATCATTATTTAAAAAGTATTTTATATTATTTTCCTCCCTCTTATTAAAATATTTCCTCAAACTTCATGATAATGATTTTCATAATTTTAACTTTTAGCACACATTCTCAAAAGAATGTCATCATAATTTATTTCCATTGTGGTCACTAAAACCTCCCCTTTTTTTCCACTATCAAATAATACTAAAATACATATACAGAGCTTTCCCCTTCTTTCAGATTACTACTGAAGAAAAATTTCCATGAGATTATCATATGTCTTCAATATATATATATATATTTTTTTTTTTTGAGAGAGAGAAAGAGAGAGAATTTTTTAATATTTATTTTTCAGTTTTTGGTGGACACGACATCTTTATTTTATTTTTATGTGGTGCTCAGGATCAAACCCAGCACCCCGCATATGACAGGCTCAAGTGAGCTACCACTTGAGCCACATCCCCAGCCCTGTCTTCAATATTTTTATTGCTCTTAATATATCCCTCAATTTGCTTTTCAAAGAGGGTGTGTGTGTTTTTGCCGTAGACTTCTAGACTCAAGCAATCCTTCTGCCTTTTGAATAACTGAAACTACAAGCACACATCACAGGAGTACAGCTACCAAGGAAGATTTATTATACTTGCTAGGTAAGCATTCTACCACTGAGTCACATTCCCAGAACCCAAAGAGGACTTTTTAAAGTCCACTTGCACTGGAAATAAAATCTTTAAAAACAAAAATAGTAAAGATAACCACTGAGTAGCAATAGTGTCACTAGGAACAATTAGTTATTCATTATGATAAAAAAAATTCTATTGTTGCTCATGTTACACTAAGGTTGATTAAGAATATTACTACCAGGTATTGATCCACACACAGTTTTACTGATCCATAAGCTCACATTGCAACCTATACCTGCTACATACAATTTTAATCAGCTACCTCCATAAAAACCTATAAGTCAAACTCCTTTTTCTGGCATATGCCATCCACTAAAATTTTAGACTATACATATTTTTAAATGAATATATCAACCACCATTCTGAAAATCATATATTAAAATGTCCTCTATAGATACAAATAAAAACAATCTGTGACAAAAGGTAACAAATATCATTTTATAATTCCCATTGAAATTACTGACTTTAGGATGGCTGTAAATCAGTGTTAAAAACAAGTGTGGGGCTGGGGTGTAACTCTAACTTAGCAGTAGAGTACATGCTTCAGCATGAACAAGGCCCTGGGTTTAATCTCCAGAATTAAAAAAAAAAAAAAAATTAGGGGAAGTTTGGAAAGAAACTGAACATTCATATGTGCCACTGGTTTGCAGGAAAAAACAAAACTTTACAATGTAGGAATCAGGATGTCAGTCATCAAATCTAACAATCACTCTTAGCATCTCTATGGTAAAATAACCACAAATCGAATGTCTCCTGATGGGATGCAACAAAAAGTATACAGCTTCATCTATGATATATGAGCTAAGAAAGTATGAAATGGAATCTGACTTAAGAGTTTAGATCTAACCTGAAGTTCACAGGAAAAAAAAAAAACAAGGAGCAAATTAAACAGAATCCATGAGTGTAATTATAGAAATCTGTGAGATGAGACTGTTAAAAGTAACAACTCTCCTGGTCTTACCAAATCTACATCATGTAAAAATGGACTATGATAGATAAAAAATAGAGTTCAGAGATATAATGTACAACTATGTACAACTATAATGCTAACTTATTACTCAGGAGAAAGAAAGAGTATGATTAGAAATCAGAACCAATTAAATTTCTAGTTCCGGTTTGGATAAACTGGCTACAAGGATATTTTTAGGACATTTACCATTAATGAGTTTAAAAATACAAAGATACATGAAAAAAACAGAAAATAAAATATTAATCAGCTCTAATTTAAAACTCTTCTAAAATGTCCTTAACTAAGGTTATAATGCAAATTTTTATTAAATAGAATGTCTACTTTTAAAAAAATGTAGTAGCTTACCCCTGGCATATATTCCATAAATATGGAAAGTGTTTTTTCCTGGGGATCCCTCAAACAGCCATAATACTGAACAATTCGCTCATGCAGCAAGTTTTTCAACAACTGAATTTCACACTCAAGTGCATTTACTTCCTAAAAGACAAAATTCACTGTTAAGTCTTTATAATACTGTAGAAACAAAAAAATTCAAACTTCAAGACCTATCAAGGTGATTACATTCTGAAATTTTTATTTCCCAAGGAACAAACACTTTAAAGTGGCTAATCAGTAGCTTCTTTAAAAGTCCCTCACAGTACGCTAAAGCAATACTATATCAGACTAGGAAGACAACTTAAATACTAGAAAAGAAGTATCCACAGTACAAAGTAGATAAATGTAATTTATCTAATTGTTTTGCAAATAATTTGTATTAAGGAAAAGCTAAAGAGTCTTCTGTATATTACCTTTTTAAGTAAAAATGTTTTTTATAATGTGACAAAGTAGTTTGTGTAGTGATTTTTACCTTGCTGGTCTCAGGGCTATCAGGGTCAAATTGAACTTGCTTAACAGCCAATTCTCTTCCTGTATCAACATCATAACAGAGGTAGACCCTGCCAAAGGCTCCTTGGCCAAGCAGTTTGCCCAATCTCCAGTTGGTAGGTGCTCGAGGTGCTAAAAAAAAAGAACACTATCTTAAAAATGGGATAATCAGATGCACAAGATTGGTTAAAGACTAAATGAGTATTGTGGATAGTGCTTCCCTTCATTGAACATGCTAGGATGTAAGCAAAAATCTTGAGTATCCAAATTCATTAAGGTCACTATTTTTCAAATATTTTCTCTTTTAAGAATTCTAAACCCTGAGCTGGGGCTGTAGCTCAGTGGTAGAGTGCTTGCCTTGCATGCATGAGGCACTGAGTTTGATCCTCAGCACCATATAAAAATAAATAAGTAAATATATAAAAATTTTAAAAAATTCTAAATCCAAATAAGATTCATATCTACAACTTCTATTTTTCTAATAAGATTTTTCCCCCAATTACAAATGTGACAGCATCTTTCACTGAATCTAAGATGCCACTGATTATAAGATTCACTATTTCTAACTTTTATCAATGCAATATTTATAATTACTTTATCAGCTTCTACCTACAGTGTCAAAAGCTGGAAGGAGCACTGTTTCCATCCTAACAACAAGAGTATCCTGGGTAATCTACAAAATTATAACCTTTACTGAACCTGTTGGAATGTTTTCCAGCCTGAAATTGGAGGAAAAATAAGCACCTCCAAGGAGAGATGGAACACAAGCACTGGCACACTTGTGGAGGGGCAGAAAGATCCACAATGGCAGGTAAGAAAAACTCAATTCCACTTTTAACAAGCATGGGCTACATGAGAATAACAAATACTAGCGAGATCCTGACATAAAGTGGTTTCAGACTTTTCCATTGACAATCTCCATGCACTCATAGGAGCAAGAGACCAGAGAAAGCCTCCTTTTGTAAGTTAAGACCTGAAGAATAAAATGAGCACTGTTGTTACTCTCTTCAGCTCTTCTCCCCTAAGACGTAAAAACCTTAAACTGTTGGAAGAAAGGGAGGCAAGAAACATCGCCCACAGATGAGGAGAATAAGAAAAAAAGGGTGGGGGCTTATCCCTGAGGAGGGGCTAGAAACCATCATGGAGAAAACCCATCTCTGAGAACTGCAGAACTAGAGCCTGCCTAAGATGGAATCTGCATGGGACAGCTCTCAGCCCTCTATCCTGCCTCTCCTATAATATGCTAACAAGTAGCATCATGTACTGCTGAGGGAGGTGTGAGAGCACAGATAGACCTTCTCTCTCTGAAAAGGAAGGCCAAAAGCTGAGACTGGAGCATCACCATGGAGAAAATCCCTCTAGAAAACCAATACAAGGTAATTCTAGAGGAATTTAAAGTCAGTGGTAAATAGAAATACCAGCAACCACCAAATCTAAACCCAGCTGACTAGACCAATCAATCCCCCACAGTAATTGCCTAAGCAGAATAGTTTTGTCTATTTCCAGGCATAAATTATATTTACCTCAGTCTCCATTATCTGGCATTCAGTGTAAAGTTATAAGATGCAAAAAAGCAAACAAAAAAAATCAAAAGAGAAATCAATTAATACAAGACTTAAGCGATTTAGACAGGATATTTAAGAGTAACTACGATTACAGTGTTAAAGGTTCTAATTAAAAAAAAAAAGCTAACAACAGGCAGAGAATTTCAACAGAAATAAAAACTGAAGAAAAGAGTCAAATGAAAATGCTTGAAATTAAAAAAAAAATCCTTCAAAAGAACAGACTCAGCAGGGCTGAGGAATGAGTCATGAATCTGAAAACAGATCAATAAAAGTTTTTCAAACTAAGAGAGAATGTTTGTAAATTCAAGTGCACAAAGATGTATAAGATACTATCAATTAGTCTACTGCATAGGTAGTAGAATAAAGAAAAATTTAAAATGGAATAGAAGAAATATTTAAAGAGATAATATCAGAATATTTTTGAGGGAAACTGCAGTGAAAGAATATTAGTTGAGAATCTCATACCAATATATCCAGACACACCATATTCAAACTTTTGGAAACCAAAAGAAAAATATTAAAAGCAGCTGCTAGGGGGACAGGTAACAGGGGTGGGGGTGGTCGTGGTGCAGAGTTGATGTATAGAGAAGCACACTGTATACAGTATGACAAAAACAAGATTATAGTAGATTTCTCCTTATAAAGTATGTAAACAAGAAGAAAATGGAGAGATAACTTTTAAGTGCTGAAATTTTTTTAAAAGCCCAAAAATAATGCCCAGAACACTATACCCAGGAAAACAAAAATATTTCAAAATGAAAAAGACTTCTATAAACAAAAGCTGAAAAGAATTTATTGCTAACAGACTTGTTTTATAAGAAAGTTTAAATGCAAATAATCTCCCTCCCCCTCCTCCTCCTCCTTTTTTTAGGGGGGAGGATTGAACTTAGGGTTCACACAGGCTAGACAAGTATTCTACCACTAAGTTAAACCCCCAGCCCTTCTTTTATTTTGAGACATGGTCCTGCTATATTGCTCAGGCTGGCCTGGAATTTGAAATCCTCCTGCCTCAACCTCCCAAATAGTTGGAATTATAGGTGTGTGCCACCCAGCTATACACAATTCTCTAGGAAAAAGGAATCTGATACTTGACTGCATCTTAAATCTATATAAACAAAGATTTATAGAAATAGATAAACAGATGGTATATATATAAAGGATATTAAGGATATTCTTTTATTTCTTATCACTTTAAATACAGCTGTCTAAAGCAAAGAAAAAACAACATAGTGTGGGGTTATAGACATAAAAACTAAAGTATGACAACACTAGCATAACAGGGAGAAATTCATAGCATACAAATTTTACTGCAATAAATATCTTTAAGAATGAATCTTGATAAAGTCCAAATACTTTAAAATCTAGCCTTAATTACCACTATAATCCATTCCTATGATTTAAAGTAAGCCATCTTCCACATTAGCAAATATGAATTACTCTCAATTTTCAAATTGTCATGGCCTCTTATACATGTCACTTCATTAACTAGTGAATTTCTAGTCAGGTCTTAGATCTACACTAAATGCAATACTATATTTATTTCTCTATATACCATTTATCCCATTAGACTATATCTTAGAGATCATGTTTGAAATCTCAGTTTTAGGAACTTGACAAGGATATATGGAATGGAACAGATGACAAATTGAATAGCTGATAACATTTTTTTCTAATAAAAATGAAGGACAGAATTAACAAGAGTAATCAGCAATAATACCATTATTACACCAGACATTCCGGCCATTTTTAGAAACTCCCATTATGATCTCTTTTGAAAAGTCTTGTCTTACCATGAATACTCATTTGGTATTTATTCCTGTTAATATTATAAAATTCTGCAAGGTTCTGCTATACATTTCACTATGACAATTTTTATTACTTACAACGGCTGGGTGGGCTGATGTCCATTACAGTCAAAGTAGGATTGTCTATATCACTTCCCCTTCTTCTTATTCGACTATCATCATACTCTGGGGTAAAGATGCTGCTTCCACTACTAGTACTTAAGGAGTGATCAGTAGGACTGAAACTCACAGGAGATCTGAAGCTGGTCCCCTGGGTTCTTCTAGCTCTTGGAAAAGTTTTTCGACCTACAAAATGAAAACAGAATTAACTTATTCCTTCTGTTAATATGTTTTAGTTTTAAAGTATTTAAAATTTATATGGTAGGAAACAGACATTTTTCTGGTAACTAGGCTAAAGAACTGAAATGGCAATAATTGTGGGGTTAAAAAAAAACTAGGATCTAAACAAATTCAAATAGTAACTTATGTACATACATGCACATACACAAAATAAACTACAAAATAGAAGCCCTTCATTTTTGGATAAAAAAATAATTTATTCTCATTTCCAATGATTTTAAAATATAAAACAAAAACTAAAAAGTTTATAGGTAGTTTTTCCCCTAAAATGGACAATACATGTATGAATTTTATCATAAAGGAATAATTTTCTAATTAATCATTTTAAAATTATTCCTTTTCCCCCATATTTTATTGTATATTATAATTCTATATTTTAAATCATGGAATTTGTCAAATTACTCCTTTTAAAAGAAAGAAAGATAAGTATTATTACATTTTAGAAACAATACTAAAATGTAACTATAGTTTTAGTTATGACCCAATTTCCTTAAAAAGGCTTTTTTTAAACCAGAAAACTGATTCAAAAACAATTTTTATATTACACAAATGAATTTTTTCCTAACATTTTCTATTTAGTTTTATATTTGAGATTTTTCCAAAGTGTTATGATCTAACTGCCAGAAACTTACCATCATTATATTCTTGATGATGATATGAAACATGATACCTTCTTGGATATGTTCCTCCTTTTCCATACTTCTCAAAAATAGGGTTATCATAGTCTGTGAAGACATAAGAAAGATACATCACAAAAAAGTCAAGTGTTTCTAATGATGAAAAGTATACTGACAAAATTTTTGATTTTTCAAAAATCTTCCCTCTCTCCTCCCCCGCTAAAACATTACTGTAACATAAATATTTAAATATTTAGAATTCATATAGTCTAACCTGAAAACTCCTGATGATTATCTGGGTAGCTCTGTGCCCTGGGCATTCGTGATTTTGGATAGCTTTCTCTATAAACAGAAAATGTCACATTAAATTAAAGAAAATATTAAAATAAAATGTAAAAAATATTTAAGCTATATCTGTGTGTTTGTGGGTCTTTACAAACATTTATTTGATACATATAGGAAAATGTATATTGCATATGGCTTTTAAAATTAACCTATATAGTGGTAAGAATGATGCATTTTGGAATCATAGTTATCTAGAAACACCTAACAGTCCAAGCTCTGTATAACCAAGATCATTTTTGCATCTATATTAAAAAAAAATAATTTCAAACTCATCAAATACACACACACACATATGTAAGCATTCAGGAGAGTACATTCCAAATAGTATTCACTATATAGTTTTCTAATTACTACTTCCCTAACTTCCTTAAATGTCTATCTTCAGGTAGACACTGACACAGACAAGAGTTTCAAGTAGATAGACAATTGATCCCTAAAAAAAAATAAAAAAATTCATAAAGCAATTCTAGGGATTAAATAAGTGAAGATTTTAATACTGACTGTGTGATACAGTATGACTACCAAGAACAATGTCCAATTACAACCAGAAGAGTACACATTTGTAACAAAAAATTCACAGTTGCTACTTGATCCTGCTCACATCCCTGTATTACACAAAAAGTATTTGACTTTTTAAAATGTCAACCAACATACTAAGCCACAATTACAAAGAATTTAAGTTATTTCTGGTGCTAGGATGAACATAATCCTAACAGGGAAGCAACTCAAGAAATCTCCAAAACCAAATATATTAAATTTGGTGAGGATGTTGAGAAAAAGGTACGCTCATACATTGCTGGTGGGACTGCAAATTACTGCAGCCAATATGAAAAGCAGTATGGAGATTACTTGGAAATCTGGGAATGGAACCACCATTTGACTCAACTATCCCTCTCCTCGGTCTATACCCAAAGGACTTAAAAACAGCATACTACAGGGACATAGCCACATCAATGTTTATAGTAGCACAATTCACAATAGCTAAACTGTGGAGCCAACCTAGATGCCCTTCAGTGGATGAATGGATTTAAAAAATGAGGTGTATAAACACAATGGAATTTGACTCAGTATTAAAAGAGAATAAAATCATGGCATTTGCAAGTAAATGGATGGGGCTGGAGAAGATAATGCTAAGTGAAGTTAGCCAATCCCCAAAAAACAAATGCCAAATGTTTTCTCTGATATAAGGACGCTGACTCAGAGTGGGGTAGGGAGGAGGGGTAAGGGAGGATTAGATGAATTCTAGATAGGAAAGAGGGGTGTTGAGAGCCACAGCCAAAGGGACCCCAGCAAAATTCCAGCTGCCAGCAAACTTCCAGCTGCCGGCTGATGATTGGCTCACAGCGGCCCCAGCAACATCTAGCTGATTGGCTCCTCTGCGGTGCTGTTCATTGGGCTGTTTCCCTGCCCTTCAGGCTGCCAGCTGATGATTGGCTCACAGCGGCCCCAGCAACATCTAGCTGATTGGCTCCTCTGCGGAGCTGCTCATTGGGGGACTTCTTTGGCTCCGCCCACGCGACCCAGCCAATCGGCCTCAAGAACAGGAGGATTGTGGGAGGTGGTGAGGCTTGTGTGGGTGAGAGGCTTGTGGAAGCTGGTGGTGGCAGTTGGGCTCTGAGGGTTTTTTCCTGAGGAGCGGTTTTGTTTGGCGTTTGTAGTTCTAAAAATAAAGTTAGTTTCTTTTGAAAAGTGGCTCCTGAATTGTGCCCAGCCAGACTGTGGTATTTGGTGGCCCGTATGGGGATCGAACCCGCGACCTTGGCGTTATCAGCTGTGAGCCAATCATTAGCCGGCAGCTGGAAGTTTGCTGGCAGCTGGAAGTTTGCTGGGGCCCCTTTGGGAGGGAAAGAAGGGGGCAGGGGATTAGCAAGGATGGTGGAATGTGATGGACACCATTATTCAAAATACATGTATGAAGACTCGAATTGGGGGTCAACATACTTTATATACAAACAGAGATATGGAAAATTGTGGTATATATGTGTAATAAGAATTGTAATGCAAAAAAAAGTACATTTATATAAAGGCATGAATTGGCATAAACATACTTTATATACAAAGATATGAAAAACTGCTCTATATGTGTAATAAGAATTGTAATGCATTCTGATGTCATGTATTTAAAAAAATCAATTAAAAAAAGAAAAATATATGATAAGTTTCATAAGTACAGTTTTTAAAAATAAGCACACATAAATTCTAAGTTTGCATTTGGCTTCAAACACATCTTTGGCAAGCAGAAACACTTAAAACAGTATCATCAGATATCATTTTAGCCAATAACACTGAGTTCCATGAGGTTAAGGGATTTATCTGCACTATAAAGAATTTCATTCACCATCAGTAAAAACAAATGTCAATTAACTATATTCCCGTAAATGTAGTACAAAGAGTTATTGATAATTCTACATGCTGTGTATATGTGTATATTACTCATATGTATTAAAAAACAAAACTACAATTGACATTACCCATCCAAAGGACTATCAAGTGATGGACAACTTCCTGAGCCAGAATTTTCAGGGCTGCTTAAAGATAATGGATCCAGCATCTAGGAAAATAAAGAGTTCCATCATGATTCAATCTGATACAACCAAAAGTCTTAAAAAAATATTTTATTGAGATAAAACTAACCCATTTAAAGGGCATAATTCTATGGCTCTTGATATACGGACAGCTGTGTAACCCTTACCACAATTTTTGAACACTTTCATTACCTTCAAAAGAAACCATACCCAATAGCAGTCACTCTCCAGAGTTATTAATTTCTAAATGTCTTGCACAGGTAGGCTTACTTCAAAGTTCCCTAATAGTCCTTTAAAATAATTAAAGCTAAAATGTTTCATATAATTTTACTTACTGAAAACTGAATGATGGCCCCACCCTAATTGAGACTAATTACACAGTGACTACTACTGCAGTAGTGTGAACATCCAATGTTAAGAAAATAATAGCAACTCTATAAAAACATTTTAATAATGAATTATTTTTAAAAAGTTATAAAAAGTTCACAAACCTCAGTTTCATAAAGTTAAATATTTGTAATTTTGTTCTTTGAAGTGTTAATGTAAAAAATCTGAATGCTAGTTATCCCTGGGATTAAAAACAAATGCATTCATTCATTCATTTATGGGTAAGCAATATTAAGAAAGGTAGCCTTTCAGCAGTTTTCTGTATACTTCAATACATAAAGGCACATACAGGTTAATGTGCAGTTTCCTGTTTATTTAAATGATTTTGTTCACTTAAGAAAGATACAGGGGAGAAATGAATTACAGTAGAGGGGGTCGAGAGAGAAGAGGGGAGGGGAAGGGAGGGGAAGGGGGATAGTAGAGGACAGGAAAGGCAGCAGAATATAAAAAAATTTAAAAAAATAAAACTTTTTTTTTAAATAAAAAAAAAGAAAGATACAGGATTGGAGAAGAGAAAACACACACACACACACACATACACACACACACACACACACACACACTCAGATACTTGCCAAATCACACTGACTCTTACCAATATCCCTTTAAATAAAATGAAAAATAACATCTGACTTCAGCTTACTTGGTCCATGCTCTCTGGAATAAATTCTCCTTCACTGTTGATACTAGTGAATGACCCATTCCGGGCTACCTGGTGTAATTCATCTGGAATGTATCCTGGGGGAGGAGAGCTTCTATCTCTATTAGTGGGACCTGAAAGGAAGAAAATTATGTGATTTATAAATATCAGAAAGAAAAAAATTGGAGTATAACTAAATAGGCTAAATGGGCATATGCCTGTAACCTTGACAACTTGGGAGGCTGAGGCAAGAGGATCACAAGTTTAAGGCCAGCCTTAGCAACTTAGTGAGACTCCCATCTCAAAAAATTAAGAGTTGAAGATATAGCTCAGTGGCAAAGTATCCCTGGGTTCAATCCCCGGTACTAAAAAATACTAAATAGGCTGTATTTCTGAACTATATCAAAATAATTTAAGCAAATGAAACCCAGTGTTTATTAACATTTATCAGAACATTCATGTTTGTAAAACTTCAGATATTCTTACAACCACTCTAAACTCCCACTCTACTTTAATTATTAACCTCACTGTGATATCCATTTATACTTATCAGGTGCTCTTCTGACTGTTGACAACTACATTATATTTGATGATATAACATAGAATTTTTTTTCACAAGATCTTTATTTTACATTTATGTAGTGCTGAGGATCAAACTTAGTGCCTCAAGCATGCTAGGTGAGCACTCTACCACTGAGCCATACATAACCCCAGCCAGATGGAATTTTAGATAAATAAATAACCACCGCTTTTGAATTTATTGCAGATAATTCATATTTGTAAACTTTTTACATAACTTGTGGAAAGCATCATAATGTAGTGAAAGCATGGAGTCAGACCTTAGTTTAATCTTGGTTCAAGTTATTTACCAGCCGAGTGGCATTGGAAAAGTTATAAGATCATCATGCACCTGTTTCCTAGTTTGTAAACATGGGACTAATTCTCCTTTTTGCAAAAATGTTTTGGTGATAAAATAATTCATGACAAATGAATGCTATCCACATTTGTCTCCATGATATTCTTTCCATTCCTCTTTAGATACCTTAAGTGAGATTACTTCTTAAATCATTTAGTCCATATTAGGGTATTTTAAATTTGGAATCCTGGACTATATTTCTGGGCACGTAAAATTAAGTCTGTGTGGCAAACCATATTCCTGGGATTTAAATTTCTTTGTAGTGTAGAAAAATGGAGAAATCTGGCTTCCATTTAAGATAGTCCTTTAATTAATCACAATTCTTATCAGATAAAAATCCATCTTATTTTAATGTGGTTCTTTGGAAATAATGCTATGTTTCTAAATATAATTTCTCCCTCACCTTATAATTTTTTGAAATTAAACTAGCAAAAAAGCTTTATCTTTGTGTAAACAGGTCATTTTAAGTATATGCCAGCACTTGTTAGTGAGAAAGAGAGCAAGATAATTACCAAATCCACACTTATCTGTAAAATGTTTAGGGGCTCAATCTGAGTCAGGGTTGACTGAGGCTCTGTTAACAACTAATAGCCAAAGGAACAAATTGAACCCTAATATTTTTATTCTTCCACATATCATTGGTTATAAAAGACTGACATATTCTACTACTAAAAGGAAATAGGGAGAAAAGAGACTATGAAAATTCCTCCTTTTTAGGGGGTAGGTACTGGGGACTGAACTCAGGGGCACTTGGCCATTGGAGCCACATCCCCAGCCCTATTTTGTATTGTATTTAGAGACAGGGTCTCAGTGAACTGCTTAGTGCCTCGCTTTTGCTGAAGTAGGCTTTGAACTCCGGATCCTCCTTCCTCAGTCTCCCAAGCCACTGGGATTACAGGCGTGTGCCACTGCACCCAGCACTCCATCTCCTTTCTTGATAGCCCATTTTTCTTAACCTCTGTTAGTAATGGGCATGCTAATGCACTCTTGGTAATTCTAGACAATTTCTGATTTTTTTTCCCCCTTAATGCCAGCACTAAGGTCAAACAACAAAAATACTTATTGGTAGAATAAGACTGAGGTATTCAGTACAATTTTAATTTAAAAGGAATTTAAAACATCAGCTTAATGCATTAAATTCCATTGTGTATATATATGTCACGTTTTTTAAAATCCATTTATCTACTGAAGGGCATCTAGGTTGGTTCCCACAGTTTAGTTATTATGCATTGTGCTGCTATAAAAATTGATGTGGCTGTGTCCCTGTAGTATACTGTTTTTAAGTCCTTTGGGTATAGACCCAGGAGAGGGATAGCTGGGTCAAATGGTGGCTCCATTCCCAATTTTCCAAAGAATCTCCATACTGCTTTCCATATTAGCTGTACCAATTTGCAGTTCCACCAGCAATGTATAAGTGTGCCTTTTTCTCACATCCTTGTCAACACTTATTGTTTGTCTTCATAATAGCTGCCATTCTGACTGGAGTGAGATGATATCTTAGAGTAGTTTTAATTTGCATTTCTCTAATTGCTAGAGATGATGAGCATTTTTTCATATATTTATTGATTGATTGTATATCCTCTTCTAAGAAGTGTCTGTTCAGATCCTTGGCCCATTTATTGATTGGGTTATTTGTTTCATTTGGTGTTTAGCTTTCTGAGTTCTTTATATACCCTAGAGATTAGTGCTCTACATGATGTGTGAGGGGTAAAGATTTGCTGTCTATTCACCTCACTGATTGTTTCTTTTGCTGAGAAGAAACTTTTTAGTTTGAGTCCATCCCACTTATTGATTCTTAGTTTTAATTCTTATGCTATGGGAGTCTTATTAAGGAAGTTGGGGCCTAATCCCACATAATGAAGATTAGGGACTACTTTTTCTTCTATTAAACACAGAGTTTCTGGTTTAATTCCTAGGTCTTGGTCCACTTTGAGTTGAGTTTTGTGCATGGTGAGAGATAGGGGTTTAATTTCATTTTGTTGCATATGGAGTTCCAGTTTTCCCAGCACCATTTGTTGTATAGGCTATCTTTTCTCCAATGTATGTTTTTGGTGCCTTTGTCTAATATAAGATAATTGTAATTGTGTGGGTTAGTCTCTTGTGTCCTCAATTCTGTACCATTGGTCTACCAGTCTGTTTTGGTGCCAATACCATGCTGTTTTTGTTACTATTGCTCTGCAGTATGGTTTAATGTCTGGTATAGTGACGCCACCTGCTTCACTCTTCCTGCTAAGGATTGCTTTAGCTATTCTGGGTCTCTTATTTTTCCAGATGAATTTCATGAATGCATTTTCTATTTCTATGAGATATGCCATTGGGATTTTGATCAGAATTGCATTAAATCTGCATAGTGCTTTTGGTAGTATGGTAATTTTGATAATATTAATTCTGCCTATCCAAGGGCAAGGTAGATCTTTCCATCTTCTAAGGTTTTTTTTTTTCTTTCTTTCTTTAGGGTTCTCTAGTTTTCATTGTATAGATCTTTCACATCTTTAATAAAAGAGGTATCCCAAGTATTTTTTTTTTGAGGCTATTGTAAATGGGCTATCCTAATCAAATCTTTTGCTTTGTCCCACTCTTCTGTTTCCTCCCTATTTGTCCTTTTGTCCTCTTCTACTTTTGCCCTTCAAATACATAATCTCATGCTATCCTTAATGGCCACATATCAGTAGTTTTGAATAATGAAATGCTTTTATCTTTTTTTAAAAAATGCACATTATCAACACTTTATACAAACTGAAGACAACACATAGAACTGAAGAGTTAAGAGCACACCTGCCACCAGGCTTGGTGGTACATGCCTGTAATCCCAGAAGCTCAGGAGGCTAAGGCAGGAGAATGGTGAGTCCAATGCTGGCCTCAGCAACTTAGTGAGGCACTAAGCAACTCAGTAAGACCCTATCTTTAAACAACAACAAAAAAAAGCACTGGGGGTGTGGCTCAGTGGTTAAGTGCTCCTGGGTTCAAACCCCAGTACCAAAAAGAAAAAACACATCTGAGTGCTGTTTAAACTAAATAGTTTGTCCATTAGGCTTATTGACATACAAGGTGAAAATTTGGTGAATGATAGTTTCTGAACAGATATGTAAATAATCCATCAAACTCTTGAGGTCATTTTCAGATATGCTAGATAATAAATATTTTGGGAAAAAAAAAGAAAAAACACATCTGCCTTTCCCAAGCCTTACTAAGGCCACCTTATGATACAGCACATAGGATCTTTATTTCTTTATATCATAACCTTAATTGTAGTAATACAGGGGCTGGGGTTATAACTCTATTCTATTTATATAATTAAAGCATTTTCCCGATAAATATATGTAAAGCACTTGCCTCATGCATATGAGGCACTGGGTTCGATCCTCAGTACCACATAAAAAGAAATAAAGATATTGAGTCTATCTTTTAAAAAAATATAGCAATATATTATTAATGGTAAGTAAAAACTGAATAATAAGAAAGTATAATAAAGGCAAAATGTGGTATTTTTTGGCAATCTTTATTGTGATTGTATTCTTCAATAATTAAGACCTTACAGAAAGTTTTAGAAACTTAAGAATCTAGTCTATTAATTTTAATATACTAGAATTACTTTTTTCCCCCTCTTTTCTTTTATCTTGTGTGTGTGGAGGGGAGGGTTTACTGGGGATTTAACTCAGGGGCATTAGACCACTGAGCCACATGCCCAGCTCTGTTTTTTTTTTTTTAAATACATGACATCAGAATGGAATGTATTACAATTCTTATTACACATATAGAGCACAATTTTTCATATCTTTGTATACAAAGTATGTTCATGCCAATTTATGCCTTTATACATGTACTTTTTTCATTACAATTCTTATTACACATATATACCACAATTTTTCATATATCTGTTTGTATATAAAGTAGGTTGATACCCAATTCATGTCTTCATACATGTACTTTGAATAATGATGTCCATCACATTTCACAATTCTTGCTAATCCCCTGCCTCCTCCCTTTCCCTCCCTCCCCTCTGCCCTATCTAGAATTCATCTATTCATCCCATGTTCCCCCTCCCTACCCCATTATGAGTCATCCTCCTTATATCAGAGAAAATATTCTGCATTTGTTTTTTGGGGATTGGCTAACTTCACTTAGCATTATCTTCCCCAACTCCATCCATTTACCTGCAAATGCCATGATTTTATTCGTTTTTAATGTTGAGTAAAATTCCATTGTGTATATATGTCACATTTTTTTATCCATTCATACACTGAAGGGCATCTAGGTTGGCTCTACAGTTTAGCTATTATGAATTGTCCAGCCTGTTTTTTGTATATTATTTAGAGACAAGGTCTTACAGGGTTGCTTAGTGCCTTGTTTTTGCTGACACCAGCTTTGAATTTGGGAACACATGCCTCAGGCTCCCAAGCTGCTGAGACTATGGGAGTGTGCTACTGCAACCAGTCCCTCTATTCTAATCTATTTATTTATTTATTTATTATTGTTTGTGTGTGTGTGTGTGTGTGTGGTAATATTGTTTATTGAAGGGTGAAGTATTCAGAGAAGAACTTGGAATTAATTGGACTTAGATATAGAAGAATTGAGAGAGGGATAGATATTCATTTGTTCAAAAAACATTATGCATATCTTACATACTGTACTAGAAAACAGAGCCAGATTTTGAAATAAAATGATATTTTAATAAATACTGACAAGGCATTAGATAAAATGCAGCACCTATTCCTAATTTTAAAATTTTCCATTAAAATAGGAATATATGTTTTTTCAATTATGAAATTTATCAAACAAAAAAGGTAAAACAAACAAAAAAACCCACAATATGTACCCAAGACATAGCTTAAAAAAATACTGCAGATAAGTTTTCGGGTGCCCATCCTTGAACACATTTCCTTCCTTATCCCCCAGGAAGCCCACTTGCCCAAATTTGTTGTTGATCATTCATATTCCAATCTTTCTTTCTTTCTTTTTTTTTTTTTTTAAAGAGAGAGTGAGAGAGGAGAGAGAGAGAGGAAAGAGAGAGAGAATTTTTTAATATTTATTTTTTAGTTCTTGGTGGACACAACATCTTTGTTGGTATGCGGTGCTGAGGATCGAACCCGGGCCGCACGCATGCCAGGCGAGCGTGCTACCGCTTGAGCCACATCCCCAGCCCTCTTTCTTTCTTTTTTAATGTTTATTTCTTAGTTGTAGGTGGACAAAATATCTTCATTTTACATTTATGTGGTGCTGAGGATGGAACCAAGTGCCTTGTGCATGCTAGGTGAGCACTCTACCACTGAGCCACAACCTTAGCCACTATATTTCTATTTCTGCTATACATGTGTGTATTTCTAAACATGATAATACATTTTTGCATATTTTGAATATGTTATAAATACTAATTCTTCTGCAGATTTTCTGTTTGGTCATGATGTTTTTAACTTACTCCCAAATAGTTCAGAGCAAAAACATTATACTGTGGTATGTATGCAGAGAGAGGGTATAATATACACATGATAACAGTGCATTCATATAACACAAAGAATGGTACAATAAAATTTGTTTACATTTCTCCTTGTGCACATGTTCAATAACATATCTAGTGTGTATTACGAATGAAAACAGTTGGTTCTAGAATATGCATATTTGAGATGTTATTAAAGTGCTCTCCAATAAAATGAACTAAGCTACACTCTTAGCAGGATATGAAAACTCTCTGTTACTTTACATCCTTGCCAATAATTGGTATTGTCAGACTAAATTTTTGTTTTTTTTTTAATTTTTATTGTTGGTTGTTCAAAACATTACATAGTTCTTGATATATGATACTTCACACTTTGATTCTATTTATATAATTAAAAGCTCTACAAGGCTTTATTTGAATTTATTTAACATTAAAGTACTGTGAATATATATACAAAGAATCTTGATTGAAGATTACTAATACTATAATATGTAAAATTAATTTCCAAGGAACAACAGACACTTAAAAACTAGATAATTTGCAGAGTATAGAAATGGGGTGCTATTTAGGAATATGTTTAGGTGTTGCCCTCCATTAAGAAATTGAGAAATCAACCATTTCCTGACTCAGATATTAGCTTTCTTACCTATTATGGAAAGCCGCTTTTTCCTCTCTGTTTCAAATCCTGCGTTATCCAAACCTTCTAGTGATGACAATGGTTCTAAATTAGTAGCCTACAAAAGAAAAATGGCATGAGTGCTATTTTTTTCCCATAGGGCTTTAAGCAGAATTCTCTCCCCTACCAAATACAACCTAGTTATTATACATTGTTAGCGGGCCTTATCAAATTTTCTACTCTTAGAAATTGTAATCCTGCCAGGCATAGTGACCTATGACAATAATCTCAGCTGTTCAGGAGGCTGAGGCTACAGGATCACTTCTGAAGCTTCAGGATTACTTGAGTTCAAGAGTTCAAAGATGGCCTGGGCAACATAGTGAAATTCTAAAAAAAAAAATCATTTAATCCTAACATAATTCTTCAAAGCTGTCAGTTTCTATATAATATAATATATTATTCTTATTTGTAATTTTGAATATGTAGTTTTGAGGGGTAGAGATATGATAGCACGTGTGTGTATACACACACACACACACACACACACACACACACACACTTGTTTCATATATTAACTTATAGAATTAAGTCCCATAAATTCTTCCTGGAGAGGAAAAAATCCCTTATTCATACCTGTGTACTTCCATTTATCACAAGTAATATCTTGAGGCTCTTCATATGAATACTACGATCAAGCAGTTCTACAGCTTTGTCCAGGTCATCTTGAGTAGTTAATGGAATTACCAACTAAACAAAAAGAAATATAAGGAATCATGTAGTCATCTCACCAGATCAAGTTCTTTCATGAATATCTATTACAAGGGAATTATAAATCTCAAAATACTCTTTGATTTGTTACTAGAATTAAATTCTAAATGAGTATATGTATCTAATTATTCTGCTCTTCCTATCCTACCAACATTGAAATCTTACACTGACTCTACAGATATTTTTAAATTTTGCTTTATTAATTATTACATTTTTTGATAAGTATATTTAAAGATGAATTTCCTAAGGTATTCTCATAATACTGCTAAATTTAAGTTATACATCCTAAAACAGTTTTAAGGGGTTCATGTACAAACTATATAAAATAAAGGTATTACTTTTCATCTGTATAGATAAAACTTTTGGTTCTTTTTCTAGTAGTAACCACAAATTTTCACTCTCAAACGAAATATGTGATATATACCAAACACTGAGTATCTGTGATAGCTGTCACAGAGTGTGCTACTAGCAATAAACCTGAGAACTATAGTCCACCTAGGGTTTATCTCCATAACCCTAGTGACCTGACCACTACATTCTAAAACAAGTAAACTAAATGGGTCAGCCAGCCACCTCTGAGCAAATCCTCAATATATACTCTGCTTCCACTGGTCCTCTTGAAGCCAGAATTAGACAGGCAGTCAGTATAGATAGGTAAATTGAGTCAGGTCAGAGCAATGAGGCCAATTTGAGTGAGTCCAGGAAGTTGGGAGACTGCATCCTGAGGAACTGAAATGCCTTCAGAGCCCTTCTTCCACCCTATCAAGACAACCTGCCCTAGCTCCAACCTGTTGCTAAGGTAACCTGTCCCAGGAATTGCCCCTCCCTACACTGAGTTGTAAAAGTTGTAAATTAATGTGTCCTGGGCTGTTTTATCCTGCCCTTCCCACTTCAGCCCACTAGTTTCCCACATTTTGGCCATCCTAGTCACATACAAGAAGGAGAAAGATAAGGGGAAGAGAGCAGGAGAACAAAAGAAGCTTAAAACACAGAAAAAGGGGAAATACCTCACTTCTTGGGATACTAGGATACCAGCTATGGCCCCCTTCTCCCTCTCAGAAGTCTCCAAATTCCTGGACTCACTCAAATTGGCCTCCTTGATCTGATCTGACTTGATTTATCTATCCATACCAACTACCTGTCTAATTCTGGCTTCAAGAGGATCAGTGGAAGCAGAGTGTACATTCAGGGTTTGCTCTTTTTAAATAACCCTGCTTTATATACTTGCCTAGGTGTACTTCTCTAATGTTATACTTCAACATGTGAGGGAGCAGAAGCCATAACTGGTGGTATCACTCTCATGAATAAGATGTTATACAGGACAGAGGCACCTGAGGTGTATGAGATAAAGTGTGACTCACATAATTTAAGAAAACAAAATGACCTTTCTTTTTCAAAAAGAATGTCAACTTAGAGGCTTATGAAAACTCTATTAATAACATCAAAGTACATCCATTTCACTGAAAAAGGGATAGGATAAAAACAAATAAACAAATACCATACTTGTTAACAAAGTCTACTAAGTATAGCATCTGGGCCATTTAAAATGTGATGCCTACTTAGGTTGCAGTCCTCTATAGTAAAAAGCCCTAAGGATAAGGATCCCCAACTCCAGGCACAGTGGCCTGCCAAACATCACAGGAATGAGCTCAATCTGCACATGAACCTTCTAGTTGGCATACTGTACACTCATTCTGTGCAGATTTCTCTAAAAAGGTCCTTGGTTTAATAAAGATGCTAGGCACATATATAATCCAGGAGTAATATCAATTCCACCATTCATTCTGCTTGCATTTACTTATTCTGTACTTAAATTTTATTTCCAATTTATTTTTATAGCTAATTGTATATTACTACAAGTTATCAACTAAGTACTGGGCTCTTTTATCTCTGTAAGAAATGTTTTCTAATAAACTGTTTGGTATCAGAGCCAAGCCTGATCTACTGATTTGCTTAATTAAATCCATTTCACTTTCCTACCAATTATGAATCATATTTGTGTATCTTTATTTTTAAACAAAAACTATCTATCTATCTATTTATTTATTGTGGTGCTAGGAATGGAACCCATAACCTCAAGCATTCTACCACAGAACTATGCCCCCAACCCCATGTTTGTATTATCTTGCTCCTATCTTCAATACTCTATTTTTATAATCCTGATATGATCCCTCACATCTTAATGTCACCTGTTATAAAATGTAAAATGAAGATAGAGTCAAGAATAAGTTCCAACTTATCTAAATTATACTAAATAAATCACAGAATGTTTGCTTGTTTGGTGAATCATTTTAGCCTCATTCATGAAATTTGTTTCCCTCTGGCTTATTTTTGGTAAATCAGAAGTATGTTTCCAAATTCTTTCTGAAAATAAAACTAAAAATTAAGTCTAAGTACATATTATAAGTACATATTAAATAGAACTTTATTAAGAAAAATTATCTTCCTTTTTTTACATAATTAAATCTGAAAACAATCCATATAAGCGGTGGTAGTTTTATGGACCTGTAGACAAGCAAAAAACTCATTTATTTTATTTTTATTCTACTTCTTTATAAATATTTTTTCTAGCATAACATGAATTCCTCTTTTGAAAATGAACATTATTTCATAAATACCAAGTTTTCCAAAATTGAAAGAACCAAGAAATTTAAGCTGGGATTAGTTGAATTTTTTTAAAATTTATTAGTTGTAGATGAACACAATACCTTTGTATTATTTATTTATTTTTATGTGGTGCTGAGGATTGAACCAAGTGTCTCACACATGCTAGGCAAGTGCTCTATCACTGAGCCACAACCCCAGCCCCGGATTGGCTGAATTTGTTGGTTTGGCTCCTCTTTACCTAATAAAGTGATGGCTATATGTATCATGTATTGCTGGGATGGGTATGGAGGTGTTCAGGCAAAGGAAGGATTTTCTAAGATCTTTCTTATTTTAGATAGTAGAGAAGGAAAACTATAAGATTTTTCCTAGTACCACCAAAATACAACATCCTGGGTTCGGTTTGGGACAACATTCTGATGTGAATCAGGACTGATTAGCTCACTGAAAATAGATTCTCACATAACCTCAGGGCTATAAGAAATCTTAAATGCAATCTTACCCTTATACTACCTCTACTACATTCCTGCAAAGAGGCCTCTCACATTTTATAATGTCAGAATCACTTATAAAAGCCCTTCAAAAAGCACGAGAAAAATAAACTAAAATGAGAAGAATATTCAATTTTTTTTTAAAGGAAATAAGAAAGAGTTCCTGAAATTACAAAATCAGTCAACTTGATGCTAATACTCTAGAAACCCAGGACCCGGGTAGGGGGATTGGAAGAACTAAGGAAAAAAAAAAAAAAAAAACCAAAACAAAACAAACAAAAAACCCAGCTATTCTAGGAGTCAGCACAGGTACAACATGGACAAATGTCAAAATAACTCCATTTTTTGTGACTAACCTACCAGGCTGGTAGATGAAGACAACATTTTAGTCATCTGAAAGTTTTCCATGATACAATTTGAGACCCCCCGACACACACACATAGAGTGATGTCTTGGTTCCCTAGAATCATACTGTGAAATAAGGATTCAAATTTATTATATGGGAAAAAGATACTAGGAAACACTGGCAGGGGAATGGGGGAAACAAGGAAAGGAATGAGGTTCATGAAGGGTGTATTATTCAGCAAGTTATCACTTTCAGCAAGTGCAGTCCACTCATCTGCACTACCCTGGGGTCATAATTCTAGAAATCCCTCAGAGTCCCAAGGGCTGGCAGCTAGAAATCAGACCAGCATGTACAGAAATAAAGTGCCAAAATCGGGCTGAGCAGTAAGATGTGTTTATGGCTAAATAAAAACCCAAAAAGTATTTGAAAAATAAAATTTCAAGCTATTACTACAGAGGATATGGATTTTTACTTTATCAAATTAATACAGTGATTTCTTCAGACAGGCATTACTTGCTACATTAGTATTCAATTTGGTTTTAAATTAATAATTACCTCATTTAAAATCTACTATTTTCAAATGTTTTATTTGAACAGTGCTTTAACATTTACAAAGCAGTTTCACATGTTTTCTCTTAAGGTAAGTTTATCAAGATTTCCACTGTTATTCTATCCCCATTGGTACCTTCCCTATTCCTACAACATACAAGTCTTTTCCATCTTAGGATCTCTGTATGAACTGCTCTCAAGCTGCTTTCTCTCCCAGCAACATTCTTCCCCTAAAACTTGTTGCAGGGTTTCATACTAATGTTTCTGTGTCTAGTGGAGATATTTATTAAATGTCACCATCTTCCCAATTAGAATAAGTTACACTGCATGTTTATATATGTCAAAATACACCCTACTGTCATGTATAGCTAAAAAGAATTTAAAAATTATTTATTCAAGGAAAAAAAATGTCACCACCTCAGTTACTTCCTTAATACCATGAATAACTACTGTCCTTGTCTTTATTCATCAACATAATGCATTTCCTTCAAAGAACTTCATATATAAACAATTCATTTATAAATTGCTTCATACTACAAATCTATAATGCCTACCCCATGAGAAGCTGTTCTTCAGTGCCAGAGCCCTTAAAATCACATGTTCTGACCCCCAAACATAACAATCTAATCTGTCCTAACCAACAGAAAATAATCCTTTAAGTTTCAACTAAATTGTCTGACTACGAAAGTTCCATTGTCTGCAGCCAAGTACAGTATGAGAGAAAAAGATCATTTAGCAATAAAATAATAAAATAAAAATTAAAAATATATAAGTAGTTACATATAAAGTATAACCAAGTAGTACATATATTTCCTGCTAGCATGGACTCTTATTTAATTATTTGCACAACAGTTGAACCTTCTATTATCTCCATAATGGGAAAAAACCCATTTTGATCAGTTAGAATTTACAAATTTACCTGAGATATTTTGACTAACATACCATATTCTTATCAATAACTAAATAAAAACACAAAAGTCCTTAAATGATATGAAATGCACACACTTATTCTAAAATAAAGACTACCAAAAGTTAAACTATATTTGTTTACCTCGTTATTGGTATAATGTAGATCCATAGACTGTCCAAAGGCAATTTTGGCTTTAGATCTCAGATCTCCCAGTTTAACTGGTCTGGGAAACTGAAGGATTCTATATAGACAAAATTTTTAAATATTTTATTTATTTTAGGCAGTTAAATATATACAACATTTCCTAAATACAATATTAAGCAAAAGTTATGTACATATTCACTTCAACAGTTCATTTTCTATTTATTTATTTACTTTTTCCACATTTTTTACTAGTGCATTATACTTGTATACAATGGTGGAATCCACTGTTACATACTCATATATGCACACAATATGATGATATAATTTGGCTAACATCACTCCCTAGCACTCCCCCTTCCAAATCCTTCTACCCTCTGGTCCCTTTCTTCTGTTCTACTTATCACCCTATACTTTTCTTTTCCTTCTTTCTCTCTAGCATCCACATGAGAGAAAATATAGGCAAATGACTCTTTGAATTTGTCTTATTTCACTTAACATAATGATCTTAAGTTCCATTCATTTTCCTGCAAACAACATAATTTTATGTTTTTTATGAGTATAACAGCTCATTTTTATTGAGTATACAAATTTTTCAACATGAAGTTTAAAAACTCTGAAGTTTGTTTGCTCTATCCTAATTTTAAAAAACAATTCTCAAAACTTCAGTTTTTAATCTACAGTTTTTAATCCACACTGAAAATGTTAAAGAGCAATATAAAACATCCACTGAGGAATGTGATCAAATTTATGTGACAAATGCACAGCAGAATACAATGAAACTGTTAAAAAAAAAAAAAGTAAAATTGTTCTTTGGGGATTCAAATTTTTTCTCTCAACCCAACATTTTTTTTGGTACTGGGGATTGAACTCAGGGGTGCTTAACCACTGAGCCATATTCCAATCCTTTTTTGTATATTATTTAGAGGCAGGGTCTCACTAAGTTGCTTAGGGTCTCACTAAATTGATGAGGCTGGCTTTGAACTCTAGATCCTCCTGCCTCCTCCTCTCAAGCTGTTGGGATTACAGTATGTGCCACCACACCCTGCTTCAACTCAACATTTTTGAGTAAATATATTATGTAAGCCTGTTTCCAAAATAAACATTTTAAAGAAATTGAAATATTGAAAGAAAATAAAATTATATAACATTTCTTCCCGTATTCCAAAAAACTAGCCTGCACTGCCCTAGAGAGCATGCATTAAAGCTTGGATACTACCACATTGGATTATAAATTCCATAACAAAAGCCCACATCTGCTTTGCTCCCATTATGCCTAACATATAGTAAGTACTCAATAAATAGGACCAAATGAAAACTTGGGGAAAAATTCCTAAAAGAATCTTGAATAAGAAAGTAGAGTGAACAATGATTCTATGGTATGTCTGGTATATTTCATTTTTCTCAACATCTATCTGTAAAACATCTTTACATCTTCAAATTTTATGATTTGTGACCCATTTTAAAGTGTTTAGAATTAACAGATGAGTAAATTAACTACAGGGACACTAAAAGTAGAAATGAAATCACTTTTCTCTAACTACTTTCAGGTCATGTTAGTAATTTTGTTGTTAACTATCACTACTACCACTTCTGCACTGATATACAGATACCAAGTGGAAGGTTAAATTTATATCTCTGCTAAAATAACTTGCAGCCACCATTCCAACTCACCTTCCTCAACATTACCAACGAAATACATGTCATAGCATTGAGGTCTCTTGAGAATAATCAAAATTATAAATATTAAGTCCACATATATAAATTCTGTATAGTATCTGGAGGGATGATATAATTTTAAGAAGAAATATATTTAATTTCCACTGAGCAAAAGTAAAAGAAAATGCAATAAGGGCTGCATTATGCAGTGACCTTACTGAGTTCCTGATATTGCAAAGTAAAAACATTAATCAGTTCTAATGTTTAGGCAGAATTTTAACAAACTCCAGTCTAAGTCACAAGTTACACACTACCAAAGACTACTCATTTCTCAATTTTAGGCCACGAAATTCATTCACATATGGAAGAAACCTTTATAGCTTAATCAGAATATATGTTTTACTAAATGAAGTGACATGTTATGTTTCCTTCCTTACCTTTTTTCTCCTCTATGTTCAAATTTCACTCGGACATCATTCTATAATGAAATGACAAACCAATCGAAATTATTCAGATAGAACTTTTAGAATTTCTAAAATCATATTTTTTTCTTAGCCATTCATTTAATATAAAACAGAAAGGAAAGAAGGTTTCATTTTCAAAGCCAGTCCAATCATTTGATAATATCTGTTAAAAAGCTCAGCTGAGAATTATGTTGGTGAAACTAGGCACAATAGGAAAGAACACTAAGATCTATTAGTGAAGGAACCAAGGATATAAAACATCTACTGATCCTGTTATAGAAAAATACATAATACTTTATCATAGTCCCCCTTAATCATGTGGTAAATGTTCTAAGACTTAATCATGTGGTAAATGTTCTAAGATTCCCCATCTTATTGACAACTTTCACCTCTTAACCACCCATTATGTCCCATCATTCTATATATAGGTTACCTACAAAAACTATAAAAGTCAGTTTAATTTGGGGAAGTGGGATACCGGGGATTGAACCCAGAGGCATTTAATCACTGAGCCACATCCCCAGCCCTTTTTTATTTTGAGACAAGGTCTAATTTGCTTAGGCCCTCGTTAAGTTACTGAGGCTGGCTTTGAACTTGTGATCCTCCTGCTTCAGCCTCCCAAGCCACTGGGATTACAGGCATTTGCCACTGCAACTGGCTCAATTTAAGTTTTTTTTTTTTTAAGAGAGAGAGAGAGAGAGAGAGAGAGAATTTTTTAATATTTATTTTTTAGTTCTCGGCAGACACAACATCTTTGTTGGTATGTGGTACTGAGGATCGAACCCGGGCCGCATGCATGCCAGGCGAGTGTGCTACCGCTTAAGCCACATCCCCAGCCCCAATTTAAGTTTTTATACATATCCTATATATAAGATGATGGGGCATCGGAGTTAAAGAAAGCACTTAACAGCTTCTCTTTGGCATATCCAAATTGCCAGAATCACAGCTCTGGTACTTTGAGGCTATTATTAAGTTATTAAGGGTTACTTGAACACATGATACTGTGGCAGTCAATCTTATAACTGAGGTTATACTAATTGACAGATAGGTAAAATATACATCATAAATAAAATAGACAAATGTAAATTAATGTTCTAGGCAGGAGAGAGCAACAGTGCAAGATTTTATCATGCTACTCAGAACATCATTACTACTGAAGACTTAAGAACTGTTTATTTCTGGAATTTTCCATCAAATATTTTAGGCTTCAGTTGACATATGGGTAAACTGGTGGAAAGCAAAACCACAGATAAGGAGGAACTACTATATTTCCACTTTTCATACTGGGCATCACAAATGAATTTCATTTATAAGAATTAAAATCACCTTCATTTGTAAATAGCCAGAGTAGATTATTTGAAGGAAAATTGCTTAAGTGCTTTAAGAATGGATAAAATAACACCTTTAGAAAGCAGTTACCACATTAAATGAAACTATGTTTTTTTAATGTATACTGTCCCAGGAAAATGTATATAACAAAACATTTGGCTCAAAAGTATAAAAGATACACACATTAAATTAGTCTTTTATAGGATCAGAACATTAAAGGAAATAATTCATAAAACAACAAAATATACTTATAAAAATATTATTGAACAAATACCTGCTTTTTTGGTGATGAAGATTTTGTTTTTCTGGTTTCCTGTAAGGATAATGCTGGTCGACTGGCCTTATGAAGGACAGCCAAATCTTGCATGATTGAGTTCAAAGCTTGCTGATCATCTAGGTATTTTTAAACATACACAGAATTGTAATTCCAATATATACTTATCACAGACATTGAACAAAATTTATATGAAAGTTAATAAAAATGCATTGATTTAATGTAAAACTACACCTAGAGCATTTTAATACCTACACTTTTGGTGAAATAAAATTTTAATTATTTTTAAAAATGAAAACAAAAAAGATGGAGTCCACACAAAACATTTATAGGCGAGACAAAGTCATTCTGATTCTTCTAACGATTAAACATTTTAGGATAAGGATCAAAACAGCCCTATTACTATAAATTCTTTTCCATAACACCTAAACAAACATAAAGACATCTGGGGAGGGGAGGGGGTATGGGGGCAGGAATGGTAGAAGAATGAATCAGACATTATTATCCTATGTATGTATATGATTATTTGACCTGTATAAGTCTACACTTCATTTATGTATGATGTGTCAAAATGCATTCTACTATCATGTATAACTAATTAGAACAAATTTTTTAAAAAGACATCTTAAAATCTTAATAAAAACAAGTGGGAAAAATAAAGCAACTTGTAAAATATTCATTAAGTACTTATATTTTTATCATTACTATGTTGAGTTTTTAAAATATCTTTATTTTGCTTATTTATTTTTATGTTGTGCTGAGGATCGAACCCAGTGCCTCAAATGTGCAAGGCAAGAGCTCAGCCATTGAGTCACAACCCCAGCCCCAAATATTTACAGTTAAAGTGCAGACTTTAAAGCTTCATCTGTGGATATGGGCCTGCTGATATTTGGAATGGATCCCTCAAATTTCTTCACCATCAGAGTTGACTAGACCATAAACATAACAGAATATCTAAGAATTTTGGCCAGTAACAATTTAAAAAGTTAACCCTACAGGAAAATTTATTTCCTTAGAAAAAGTACCAAATCCAGAAAACTAAGTTTCATGAACCATGAACTTTTAGCTTCTTCCAAACATATTAAAGATTTCTTTTATAAAAATTTTAGATGTTTGTTATTAGTGCATTATAATTATATATGGGATTTGATATTACATTATTTGTTTATACACACACAATATAAAAGTAAAATTTGGTCCATTTGAAGATTTCTTTTTGATTCCATGTATGCATGTCAAAACATATTCTATTGTCATGTATATCTAAAAAGAATAAATAAAAAATAGAAAATAAAAGAATTGATTTGTTTTTGAAACTATAAAGAATATGCCTCTCAGCAATGCAATTATAAACTATCTAGAAGACTTTAGGGACAAGTTAACTGAATTTCATTAATAAATCAATTCTACTAATAATTATTAACAATTGATGAATAAAAGAAACAAAAACTTCATAGTTTACATTTTGGTCTATAATAATTTATGTTCCAGGATGGGTCTGGTGGCCCATGCCTGTAATTACAATGACTCAAGAAATTGAGGCAGGAGGATGGTAAGTTTGAGGTCAGCCTCAGCAATTAGGGAGACTCTGTCTCAAAATGTAAAATAAAAAAGACTGAGGATGTAGTTCAGTGATGAAGTGCCACTGGGTTCAATTAATTCCCAGTACCAAAATGATAATAATAATAATGTTATAATAATAACATAAGTTTTAATACATAGCATCACAATGTCCAAAAAGAGAAATATTATTATAATAATAACATTATCATCATCATCATTATTTGTGTTGCTTAATAGTAATTAAAACATGGTACATCCTGTAAGGGAAATTATTATAAACAATTTGACAATTCAAGAGTTTCAATAGTCTTTCAAACACACAGTTGACTTCCCTAATTTATTAATTTTTAATAATGTTCAAGATATTCTATTCCATAGAAAAAGTATTTGCATGTTAAAATTTAAAATAATTACAATCGTTTTAATAATAAATTCCAGTTAAAAGAAAATTTTATAATCATTTACAAAGAATCCTTTGTAAAATAAAATTGTCATGTTAGCTTAACCAAATAGGTAACTGAGTCAATCAGATACAATATAATTACAACAAGTGATGCATAAATAGGTCCATGCCAGCCTATGTTGATTATTGATAAAGAAAATAAATTTTCTCTCAGGTTAAATAAGCTCAGAATGATATCAACCAACTGAAATAAAATCATCTGATGTGACCTTCTTGAGGAATGTTAAAATGCTTAATTCTGTACAGGGGAGAGGAAAACTCAAATATTTAAATGTATTTATGTTGTTTTAATTATTTTATTAGAAAAATCTTTAGCACTTGAATTCAGAGTTTTAATATATATAGTATCATAATGTTCAAACAGAAAATCTCTTATATTTACATGTTTATTTCTTTGTTAAGAAACATGAGTTGGGCTAGGAATGTAGCTCAGTGGTAGAGCACTTGCCTAGTATGCATGAAGCCTTGGGTTTTATCCCCAGTGATGACTTAAAAAAAAAAAAAAAGAAAAGAAAAGAAAAGAAAAGACTGTTAAAGTAACAATGAATCTCACTATTATGTATAGTCACAATGTACCAATTTAAGAAAAGAGAAAATGTACCATTTTCTACCATATGTGTAAAAAGGGAAAAGTCCAAATGAACAAAAAGTTTAAATCTTGGGAAGATGACATACAAAACAAAGGACAATCTGAGTTTCTTCTTTTGCAGGCTTCAAGAATTACATGGTAGATAAGTACCTATATCAAGAAACTTACTTTGAGGAGATTGATAAAATGTGAACAAATCCCAAAAACACAAAAGATCAAACTTAGTGTGAACATAAAATAAGCACTATTCTAAACAATTCTTAGACTGTTTTACTCTATTATGAATCCCTGTGGTGGTCACAGGGTACTAGGCATATTAGTTACCCAAAACACAGTGAGAATGCCCAGAGGATATCAGACAGACTAATGAGCACATAGAAAGAGCAGTGGATTTCTAATGTGTGTTTAAAAAAAAAAAGGACATTCATATGAACATAAAATCAAAAAAACTGAGATAACTTCAAATGAAATTTTTAATTAAAGATACACTGAATTAGATATCATATACATATTCATTACACTTGAAAAATAACTGTGAGAAATAATAAGTATCTCCTTCTCTAATCCCTTCTCAGAATGGAACCCTCAAGACCTAGGAGAAAAAGGCAAGTGGGGAGAAAATATGTAAATGAACACCCACAATTCAGTTTTGTGTGTGTGTGTGTGTGTGTGTGTGTGTGTGTGTGTGTGTGTGTATGTGTGGTAGTATTGGGGATTGCTCAGCCCTTTTAATTTTGAGACAGGGTCTCACTAAATTACTGAGACTAGGCTTAAACTTTCAATCCTCCTGCCTCAACCTCCTGAGTTGTTGGGATTACAGGCATATACCACTGCACTTGACCCCACAATCCCTTCTTTTATGCTCAGTCCCTTTAAATTATCATTCCCAAGCATCAATTGTTTGCTGTATTACTTGACAATTCAATTTTATAATTTATTTTTCTCTTGACATCAGACGCTGAAGCAAATCATAATTCATCTGAACAGTTTACTCTGAATGTCCCTACTGTGTCTCCTGCACAAAATTTTCATTCTAAAACTGTAAACAACAAAAAAGTACTTTAACTGAAAAATCTATTAAGTAAAAATAAACATTACATAAATCTGATACATTATAAAATTTATATATAAAATGTCTTACTATAACACATAATTGAGAAAAAAATTCCCCCCATCCTATCCTTTAATTATAACTGAAAATTCTTTTAGTTTGAACTCACCCATTATGGCAATCAGCTTGATAATTTGTAAGTTAGGAAAATGGCTCTCCCATCAGCATTCTTTATTGCCTTATGAAATAAAACAAACAAAAAAACCCAAACACATTAATAGTAAGAAACAGAAGAAGCAGCCACAAAAAGAAGAAAAGTAGTATAGACAACACTAATGAGAAATACACAATATGAATATTTTATGTAATTTTTTCTGACAGAAGTACTTTATATTGGAAAGCTATCATGTAGGCACCCTTATCTAACACACCAAAATTCCAGACTCCCAAAAGAAAAGCATTCAGAATAAACCATAGTGCTTGTACAAATAGCTTAGGGACAATAAGCCATTACCAGTTATTAGTTAGGGATGTTGGAACTCTCCTGAAATCCAAGTCCTCAAGTGCCAGTCAAAGGTTAACCTTGTAAGCAGGTCTTTCTAAGGATAAGTAGTCTGTCACATTAATTCTTTTCTACATAAGCAGCAATAGGAAATTAAAACATTTGTTTAAAGAAAACCGCATAAAGCAATAATTGTAACTCTTGTAAGAAATTCAACATATAATGATATAATTTACCTCGTAATAATAACACAAAGGGGAAAGACAGAGTTATATAGAGCATAAAAAAGTATATTCGTATGTTATTGCAATAAAGTTTGTATCAACCAAACTACACTGTTTATAAATTAAAATGTTAACTCTAATACTCAGGTCAATCACTAAAAAAAAAAAAAAGAATTTTCAAAATATATATCAAAGAAAACAAGAGAATTCAAATGGCATACTCAAAAATAATTATCTGGCACACTGGCACAGTGGTGCATGCCTGTAATCCCAGCAGCTTAGGAGGCTGAGGCAAGAGGATCAAGAGTTCAAGCCAGCCTCAGCAATTTAGCAAGGCCCTAAGAAATTCAGTGAGACCCTATCTCTAAATAAAATTTTAAAAAAGGCTGGTGATGTGCCTCAGTGGTTAAGTGCCCCTGAGCTCAATCCTTGGTACCAAAAAAAAAAAAAAAAAAAAGTTATTTAACATAAAAGGTAGTTATAGAGAAACTGAGTAACAATAAGAAAACAGACAAGAGATACAACTAAACCCCCCAATATAATCCTATCTTATGGTAACTGCCTTAAATATAAATGGGATGAACAAACCAATTAAAACACAGAAATTAGCAGAATAGATTTTAAAACATGATCAACTACATGTTGCCTACAAGAGACACATTTAAATTCAAAGACAAAATAGTTTGTAAGTGAAAGTATAGAATAAGATATACTATGCAAAGAGTAGCCAAGAGGCCTGGAATGGCTATACTAATATCAGACTAAATAGATTATAACAATAAGTTATTGGTAAAATGGGCACTTTATAATGAAAAATGGCCTATTTGACAACAACATACTGCAATTATAAACATATGCACCTAATAGTCTCAAAGCACATGAAACAAAAATGACAGAATTTAAGGAAGAAACATGCAATTCATATATAAGAGTGGTAAACTTTGATGCCCCATTTTCAATAATGGATTTAAAAAGTAGAAAGTCAATGAGGAAACAAGATTTGGACAAAATTATTCAACTACTAGACTTAATAAACATCTGTAGAACTTCAAACCCTCAAAACAGCAGAATGCACAATAGAGTATCTTCCAGGACAGCCCATATGCTAGGCAATAAAACTAATCTCAACATACGCAATCACCCAAAATGTGTTCTCTGACAACAATGCAGTAAAGTCAGAAATTGGTAACAAAAGGAAATCTGGGGAATTCACAAATATGTGAAAATTAAACCACATACTCAAAAAGAACTGGTGGATCAAAAAGAAGTCACAAGGAAGTTAGAACATACTGTGAGATAAACATGAAAACACAACCAACAGAAACTTTATGCATGCATCGAAATTAAAAATGAAACTTGTAACTGTTAATGTTTATATTAAAAGAAAGACCTCAAATCAATAACCTAAACTTACACCTTAAAAAAGTTAGAAAAAAATTTAAGCCCAAAGCAAACTGAAGAAAAGAAACAATAGAGATGAGTGGAAGGAAATTACAAGGTAGAATTATAGAAATGAGCTAGAAAACAGGAACACCATAAAATTTTTTTACATCAATGAAACAAAAGTTAATTTTTGAAAAGATCAACAAAGCTAGTCTAACCAAGGAAAAAAAGAGACAAACAACCATAACAGAGTCTAAACAGACCTATAAAAATCAAGGAGACTGAATTAAAAATGAAAAATCTCTCACAAATAAAAAGTCCTCTACCATATGATTTCAAACATAAAAAACTAACAATAATGATTAACGATTCATTCTGAAGCCATTATAAATAACTCTGATACCAAAACCAGAAAAAGACAACACAAGAAAATTGCAGATCAATATCCCTTGTGAATACAGATGTAAAATTTATTAGCACAATACTAGCAAATATAATCCAGAACATGAAAAAAGGAATATACTCCATGAACACATGGGATATGTATTCATAATACAAAAAAAGTAGGTTCAGAATACAAAACCAACCAATGCAATAAATCAGATTAATAGAATATAGGATAAAAATCACATAATCATTTCAACAAAAAACGTGTCAAAATTCAACATGAGTAATACTCAAAATACAACAAATAGAAGAGAATATCTTCAAGTTGATAAAGAACATCTATGAAAAATTCACAACTAACATCATACTTAATGTTATGGAGAAAGACTAGATACATCCCCCCTAAAATCGGAAACAATCCAAGGATGTCTGGTCTTACTACTTCTATGTAATACTGTACTGGAGGTTTTAGTCAGAATATGAGGCAAGAAGATAAAAAGAACCCAGATTAGACAAGGAGTTTAGGTATACCTATTTGTAAGTGATGTATATTACACAGAAAAGTCTTAAATTCACAAAAAACACAATTAAAACTATGAAACAAGTTCACCATGGTTACAGGATACAATATCAACACTAAAAAATGAGTTGTATTTCTATATATTAAAAATAAACATTTTGGAATGAAATTGAGAAATCAATTCCATTTATGATAGTATCAAAAAGTATAAAATAGTTAAGAATATTTAAATAAATGCAAGACTTGTGTGCTGAAAACTATGAAACAATTAATGAAATTAAAGTAGATCTAAATATACAAAAAGACATCCCATAACCATGTTAATGGATGGGGAGACATTTTTAAGAAGCCAAACTACTCCCCAAAGTAATCTATAGATTGAATGCAATCTCTATCAAAACTCTAGTGGCCTCTTTTCAGAAATGGAAAGGCTGATCCTCAAATTCATATGGAACTGCAATGGGCCCTAAAAAGCCAAAACAATATTGATTTCAAAACTTATTAAGCTACAGTAATCAAAATGGTTTAGTGCTGGCACAAGGATAGAAATCAATGGGATAGAATCAAGAGTCCACAAATAGACCCAAACATCTATGATGGACTGATTTTTCACAAAAGTGCAAAGACAATTCAATGGACAAAGAATAGTCTTAACAAATGGTGCTATATGAGTGGATATCCACATAGCAAAGCATGAAGTTGAACCACTTCCTAACATAATACACAACACACAAAAATTAGTTCATCATGGATCAAAGATATAAACGTCTCAGAAAGAAAGGGATGTGGATATTTTCATTACTTTGGATTAGGCAACAAGTTTCCTAACATGACATTATAAGTAGAAGCAACAAAAGAAAAATTAATGGGACTTCATCAAAATTTAAACATTTTTCCAGTGACTTGGGAAGCTGAAGCAGGAAGGATCACAAGTTCAAGACCAGTCTCACCAACTTAGTGAGACCTGTCTTGAAATAAAAAATAAAATTAAATTTAAAAAAAAAAGGCTGGGGAATATAGCTCAATGGTAGAGCC